TTTCAAATAACTTGAATTCTTTAGTAAGAGAACAACCATTCTCAAAATTTCTGCATTAATAGCAGTAATTAAACAATTAATTATTCAATCAAATCACATTTCTGACAATTATGTCAAATAATTTTACTTTGTATATAAATCATTTTAAAAGAAAATATTAGGATACTTTTAGGTGAATATTGATCACTATGATTTCTATGATCATAACATCGCTGTCAACATTAAACTGAATTCTCTCCATTTTTCGCAATTCTCATTACGATAACTCATTTTCTATTTTGCTTTATAAAATCTAAACGAGTGCTAACAACTTCTTTCTTAAAATATAATTTAAACAATCAAATAACATCACATAGTAAATTGACTCCGATTTGTTAGCTCTAATTTGTGTGTTTAGCATATCATTATAAAGTAATTTGAAACTTTTTTTTATAAATTTTTATATTTAAATGTCAATACGAGTACCTATGTATATGTATGTATAAATTTCGAAAAATGTCTGTATATAGACATAAATGTTTGTATATACATGTGTGTCACTATTATTATAGTACACCCTATATATATATAAAGTATATTTATAACGATTTATTTCTAATGACATAAAACTCGAGACTTTTATTACCTACTTATTTCGTTATTATGTTATAAATGGTGTGTACCGGTGCAAAATAAATTCTAATTTTATTTTTTATTTTTCTTCGATTTTTTTAACATTTTTATTTTTTATATATTCTACGTATATATCATAATGAATGTATAAAATGTATTAATTAAATTGAAACAAATTTGCTAAAATTTTATAAATTTTATTGTTTAAGAATTTAAGACTGTGAAAAAAAAATATTAGATTAAATTGAAGATTGATAATAGAATTTTCAATTATAAAAAAGGGAATTTAATACATTTCTGTATATAATTATGTATGTACATACATATATGATATAAAATTTGCAAACATATTATTTTTAATATGAATTCGGACGAAATTTGTACTATGAAAAATTATTTAAAGTTTTAGAATATTTATTAAATTTTATAATATTTCCAAACAGGCTATTGAAAGTCCATAACTTTCTATAACTTGAAAAAGTGTAACTATTACCTACGATTACAAATGAAGACACGAGTGAATAAAGGTGTCAACTACAGTTTTTGTAATTCCACAAGTTTCGAGTAAATTAACTTGCTTTCAAAGTAAAATATTTCAAAAGTGTGACATAACACTTCTCATAAATAATAAGCTATCTGTTAAACTGAGTCACTTTCTCAAAAATGGCTTTTTGCATATGAAAGATAAACATATAAAACTTCTATTTATGCAATAAACACATTTTCGTAAAAATTGTAGATGGCACCTTCATTCACTTGTGTCGTCATAATTACGACTTTTGCATGAATGTTTGACGTACGTTTCATTCCCCTGGCTAACAAAGCTCGCTGTGTAAACAAAGGTAATGGTTAGTTCAAAAATTTAAGATGTCATAAAAAAATTTTAAACCATTTTTCATATCTTTCATTATTATTAGAAGAATTTCTAATAAAAGTGAATAAATAATGTGTATATCAATTAACTGACCTATATAAATTTTTCTAAAATTATTTTGCATATAAATATACTCTAATGTTTTATTAGTTTGACTAATTGAATTATTATTGAATAAAAGTTACTCGTGTAGAAAATTAAATGTCACATAAAATGTAAATAACGAAATGTCAATTATTATAACACTTTATAACAAAAACAAATTATAACATAAAAAAAACAAAAACAAATATTTTCATCCTTGTCATTATAATTTAACTAGTTAGCTTAATTGTTATATTGTTATATTCACATAGTTTACAATATTTGATTGGTAAAATTATTTGTTACAATTTTTCAAAAGTAGGTTAAAAATTTGGAACAAATACATTTCATTTCAAAGGTTAACTGCTATACTGATATACAGAAACCCTTATTATATCAATTTAAGACCGATCAAATTAATTGGACATTTTAATTTTGAATTGATCCAAAAATTAGTCAGATCTTAACACATTATTTTCAAAATATAAAAGTATGTATGAATGTAAACATGTAAAATGCTTTGGTTCAAATTTACCTACAGCATCATCATTTTTAATTTTAGAAAAATTTTTTGACCGTGACATTCGTTTAATGCAAAAAAAAGAACAATAAAGAAAAAATATTTTTATCATTTTCTTATTAATTTTGTTTTTAACTTTTTCTATTGTGTGACAGCTGTAATTAAATATTCAATAATTTAAAAAAATTAAAAATACCTACATATGTATGTATAAAGATTCATCTCTGTCCTCCATCATAACACTATTTTTATTATTATCTTTTGAAAAAATGTCGAATCTGATAGAATTGTAATTTGAACAAGTAAAAAAAAAAATGTAGAAAACATTTCAAATGTCACACGTATAAACCGTGAACTTTTTTTAATTTTATTTCTGTAACTGATATTTACATTTTTTTATTATTATATTAATTGCACAGCACAATTAACCAATAATAATAAATTAACAATTAATAATAACGCATACCAATTAATAATTTTTACATTAGTTTATAATAAAAGAATAATGCAAGATGCAAATTGTCATATTTGCATTATTAACACTTAACAGATTATTGACACAGTAACAGATAATTCATAAGTTTATAACATAATGCTGGAAAAAACAAAAACGTGATGTTTTATTTTCAATAAAAAATAAAATTTTCATTTCAGAAATCGAAAACAATGTTACAAGCTTTACCGATTTATAAAAACTAAATTTAATCATAAGTAGGTAGGTAAGTAATTAAAAACACAAGACATTTCAATACTCTATATTTTGTTTACCATCGTCAACAAAAAAGAAATCTTATGTGAACAACAAATAACCGATCGCATTTATAAAGGGTTGCATAAGCTTAAATAAGAAAATTTCCTTTAAAAATTTAGATAAAGATCATCTTTTGTGATCCAACTTGACTGCAAATTTTTCCAGATAATTTCGTTAGCAACTAAAACTCAAATATTAAATTTCAAAAATTTACCTCAATTATTTCCTGAGATGTTGTTAAATATGTAAGACACCGGTCCATAGTTATAGTTCTGTTTCAGAACCTTGATGTTAACGAAACATTTACTGGCTCATTGTTTTAATAACCGGACTATATATATAAAATTTCAATTAATTTGTTTGATTATTTCGATATAAATTCGGCCCATAATAAAAGTTTACTTACATGTAATTTACATAATTGTTGATATAAAGACGATTTATTAAATTATATTCATACGTACATATTATAGACATTGTTCATAAACGCAATACTGCAATTATTGCGTATTCATAACCCATTAATTATTCATAACCCAGCAATAATTTTTGTATTCTGGAATATTATCATTTTTGCATCGCAGCAATTCTCAGACATTTGAAAAATGCAATGCAAAAAAATAGCATTTAGCTAATTTAACTGTCTTTAAGTTACCCTATCCATCCGTGATAATTTAAATATTTTTTTGGTAAGTCAAAAAATGTTCATGGACAGGTTTGATTTGCAACACTTCTTTATGAACATAATTAATATAGTGCAGCTTTCACTATAGCAGCTAAGTATATAGCGATTTTTTGAGCTATAGCTAAGGCCTTATATTATGCTATAGAATTAATTTACAAAAATAAAATAAGAAAAGTTTATTATTAATAATAAAGAATTTATACAGAAGATTAAAAAAATTATCTAACTGAAGAATTACGAAGAGTCTATTACGACTTTTAATTCTAACAATTACGGTATGATAAGATGGTCGTGATATTTAACCAAGTCAAGAATATTCTATATTTATTTATAAAAAATACACAATACGTAATTTTATATTACAAAATAAAATAAAAACACACAAATATTAAAGGCTATTATTTATTTCAACAATCATTTTATTTATTTAACAAAAACAAAAATTTCACTACAAATTTCGTGAGTCGTGACAATTTTTCTATTTCCCATACCGGATCAAAATAAAATATTAAATAAAAGTAAAAATTAGAAAAACGAAAACAAAAAAAAATTAACATTTCATTTTGAACTTTTCATTGATAAAAATATTTGCCGTTGGTACATACATAGGTGGTGATAGTTGGTTATTATTAAATGTTATTATTAATTTTTAATTACAAACATATGCACATTGATAACTTCACTGTTCGATCATTTATAATGGTACTCAATATTTATTTTACTATATTAATTAAATTCAATAGATATTCGAGAATTCTATTCAAAACTATTCAAATTCGCGTGAAATTTCAACCACAGACAAAACAAAAAAATAATTATTAATAAAAAAACGCTTCATGTAAATATGTATACGTATTTGTATGAAGCTTTTGTATATCCTTTACAGCCTCGATCACTTAATATCAATGTTTCATAGTTTATTAATAACTTTAAGTTTCTTAGGAAAATGAAATAATTCTTATAAACGGAATATACGTAGGTCCTATTGGTTTCAAAACAATTATACATAAATTAAAGTTATTATTAATCAATTTTTTGAATAACTTAACTATTCAGTTGTGTTTAATAAAAAATAAATTCAAATTACAGTCATCTAATTTTTTTTGCTTCCTCCCATTTTCATTCTACTCAGTTTTAATCGTTTAACCCTCGTCCTATTGATTACAAAGGACGTTAAATAACGAATATGCAAATTAATTTTTGAACTTTCCTTTTATTCAAGTTTAATTCTTAAATGAAAATTTTAAAGAAAATATGGACAGGAGGTCGAATATAATCTTCAGTAAGTTAATAATCTTAATCAATTGATAATTACATATTTAAAAATCTTGCATTATATAGCCAAGTGGACAAGAATTGTGCGTACCGTCTTGTTATATTTCATAAACATATGGGAAATGGGGAAGTACATACTTACAATCCCTGGAAAACCTATAAACATTTATGCATAAATAATTGAAAAATAAAAGAAATGTTCTTTTAAAAAGCAATAATTATTAATTTCGATATTATAAACGTAAAAATAAAAGAATTACATATAATTTATATACTTATATACAATTTTTTGTTTTTCTTTAAGATTAAAATAATTATTAACTTAATAAAAAAAACACAGAAAAATTACAAAAAAAGTTTTTAAATCAGTTGGGTTGTTTTGTTCTACATGATTATTCATTAGTTTTATATTTTTACATTGTATGATAAGTAGGTGAGTTACAAACTTTCGGTTTAGGTAGCCTGGTAAGAGGATGGGTACGACCGTGCTGTTGTAATTTACGGCAACTTAATGTCATGGATATTTGATTATTTGTTGAAGATGTTTTAAATAATGGACCAGGTGGTGGTCTACAGTCGTTATTATTAATAATTTGTTTATTACTATTATTGCTATTATTACTATTATTACTATTACTACTAGTATTACCAATATTGCCAATATCTGATGGTTTGTTTGTCCTACTCTCATAGTATGAATGAGGGCGACCACGGTATAAAGTTGATGTCGATGATAATGAAGATGTTGAAGTCGATGTAGATGATGAAGATGAATGATGGTGATGCTGTTGATTGATTCGAGATCCAGTATTATGAAATTGATATTTATTAACTAGACATTTAACACTTAAATCATTTTGTTGGCTATCTTTACTGTATTTTAATAACCTAGAATTGTCGGTGGAAGTGTTTCCTGTATTAGCAGTAGTTATATTACTAGTGCCAGTAATCGATGAGTCAGTCGGTGAAGGTGATGTTGATCCCTTAGTAACATTCGACGCCCCCCCGCTTCCTAAAGAGCTAAGCTCCTTTTTATTAACTTTAGCTTCAAAATTCTTTTTTAAACTTTGAACATTATTTGGTAGTCTTATTTTTTCAGCTCCTATGATTGATGTTGACCGATTTAACTTTCGATCCGTTGATTTTTTTAATGATATTGGATATTCTGGTGCTGATACTGAAAGTTGTTGATTAGTCGAATGTTTTAAAGAATAATCTGCAATTTCACACTCGCTAAGATATTTTTCTTTCCCTCCAGCAGATAAAAAATGTGATACATCTCTGCTAATAAATGAATCAGACTTTAGCTTAGTACGTTTTCCTGGAAAAGTTCTATCTATACTGAATGTTGAAGCTGTATTTCTATCGACCGCAATGTCTCGATCAAATACTTGCCCTTCAACTATAGCTGGATTGCTAAATCGGAAATTTTTTCTGTTTGTATCATATGAGCCCCAAGAACCGTTCCGCGAAGGTAAAATTCGACTAGCTGTTTCAAATGAACTAGAAGACAAATATCGTGATGATCTGCTTTCAATTTTATTCCGTTGGGAAGATATATGTGATGAACTTGTATCGGTTGATGCAGAGTCTATACTGCACGAACTTAACCTATTATTAACATTAAAAGCATGCTGTTGTTGATTTTGTTCTAAAAAGTTATTGTTATCAGTGTTGGAAGAATTGTCTTGATTATAAATAAATGTTGATGATATTGAACATGAGGATGATATATATTGATTAGATAACTTATTATCATTGCGAGTAAAATTTGCTGTATTAGAATCATCTGATGTGCTTTTTTGAAATGTACTAGAATATAATTTAGATGGCTGGTGAATGACCTTTGACGATGAAGTCCAAACCGGTCCTCTAAAGGGCGCAGTAGGCGATATAGACGTTGCCGATATCGGGGCTACTTCTTCTTGAACTTTATTTTGATCTAAAATTTAAAATTCCTTTATAGATTGTTGAAAAGAAATAAGAATACATTCTGATAACATTTCGATTTTTGGTTACATCGCTATTTTATTTTTGTTAGCATGAAATGGTGAAAGCGAATAAGTTTATGAAATGTGGATGCTTTTACTTTTTCAAGATTGTATGAACGGAAATAGTGAAAGAACTTTATTAATGGAAGAAGAAAATTTTTACAAAATTCAAACCAATTTATTATTTGTTGTTTTTAGTTACAATTAAATATGAAATATATAAATATATATATATATATAATTATAAATGAATTTCTTTTTGATAATTTAAAAGGGTTATACAATTCAAAAAGCTAAATGTTATCTTAATTAATTTATTGAAATCTTCTTAAACTGAAGACAAATTCAAAAATTTTAGTTTTTAGCAATCAATACAATTATTAAAACTTGGTTAGTAATAGTAATATCAAAAAAATTAGCAATAAAATACCAAAAATACGCATTAATTCAAAAAAACTTTGGGTTTTTTAAATAAGCTTTCAAACCTATAGTCTTAAATATTTCGAAATATTCTATATCCAATCGACAAAGTAGGAAAATTTAATCATAACTTAGAATTACCTGCATCGGGATGATTTTGTATGGGCTGTAGATTTAATAAATTTAAAGACTTTCTATCTTCTTTAGTTTTCCTTCGATTGTCAGGTTGATTGCTACTTTCAAGATCACTTACTAAACTTTTTACGGTAGGTTTTGTCACTGTGGTCATCCCTGTAGTTGTCGTGGATGTTGATCCAACTCGAGCAGATGTTGTTGTCGAAGAAATCGATGTAGATGAAGATGATAAAGTTAAAGTCGATGAAATCTCAATTCCAGAATTAGTTGAAGCTGTTGATTTTTGAATATGCAAAATTTGATTTTGGGTAATACTATAGTTTTGTCCATTAACGTCAGTATGACGAACATTTTTTTGAAATTCTTCATTGTTAGCACTTTCTGGCTGTGGTGTTAAATTTTCCAATGATTGACTTTGTTGTTTTAGTGTCACGATAGGGTTTTGAACTATTTTGGGTGATGAGCTACTTGATCGTCGAACGATTTTGCGATGAGATTCTTTACTACTACTCCTACTACTATTATTGCTACTTAAATTTGAATGTTCAACAGCACACAACGTATTTTTTGATGATCGATTTAAAGCTTGTATTAATGGCGTGGGCTCACTACCAGGCAGTAAACGAGCATCCTTCACCGCAGCTTTTAAATTCGTTTCACTTTTACTGCGCTGTAATTTTTCTTTATTTTTCATAGCATCTAACATACCCCGATATGTTTCTAATTGTGTTAAAAAATTTTTATTAGGTTTAATACAGTTACGTTTTGCTTTTACGAAGTCCAATGCATGGTTGAAATCCCAGTTAAATGCTTTCATCGCATAAGCAACAACAACGGATGCAGACCTGCTAACACCCATTTTACAATGAACTAAAATTTTTGAATTATTTTTTTTAGCTTCTGATATAAATTTGTAAGTATTATCCCAGTGTTTTAATAAATTAGTTTTTTCATCATCATAAACCCGAATATTTAAGTATTTAAAAGTTCCTGGAAAAAAATTATCGATTTCCCTTGTTACATTTAATATGTAGCTAACCCTAAAAATATTTTCCATCATATGAAAATAAATTTTTTAAAAAATAATACTAAAAATTACCCATTTTTTTGCAATTCTTCTAAATTACTCGCGTTCCATTCAGATCCTAAATAAACATGCTCAAATATCTTCGTCGGTGCGTCCATTTGTCCTAATATAACTAACATTTCTTTATCAATAAAAGATTTGTATTCATTCAAATCCATATTCAAATGTTCTTCTAAGCGGCCTCTAATGTACTTTGATGTAACTTCATCCAAATCAACAGACATCATTATTTCTCTTAGTTTCATTTTAATTATTTTTTCAGCTTCCTCTTTTTGGGTTGGTCTATGACATTAAAAATTTAATAATTGCAATAGCTTTTTATTTCAGTAAAAATGTATTACTTGTTTCGTATGGCATCGGGTGATGGTGGACGCACACTTTCCAACGAATCCATTGCATTCCATTCATTCAAACAAGATCTATCGGAATCCACAATTGATTGATAATACTGTATCCAGTGATGGGATGGGCCCCCAGGATAAAAATTATTTTCACGAGCTTTCTTAGAAACCTTATGAAGAGATTGCAAAGCCGACCTTTAAGAATTTAAAAATTCAATACAATATTTTTTGTATATAATATTAATCTTTGATATACCACATAGCTTGAACTGAAACCGGCTTAAAAATATGTGTGTTTCCAAATACGCTAATACTGAATCCACTGATAATAAATATATCAAAAAAAAGTAGGCATCAGAAACAGTTTTTTTTTCAGAATAGGTACTTCACTTACCCGTCACCATCTAAGTGAATTGTAGTATCAGCTAAAATAGGTAATACTAAACCTATAGTAGTTTTTTCATTACAATCTATTCCTAAAAGACATGATTCTTCAATATCTTTATAATCACAAGAAGGTTTCTTTTTGTGTTGCGTAGTGGTTGTCCCAGCTGCCGCACCGGCTCCTGCTATCACACCGGCTTCTTTTGCTTCTGTATCAGAAACGGTTCCCTTTTCTAGTACATTCATTGTTAAATTAATACTTTTATTTTGTTTATCTAATTTTGTATCAGACTCTTTATTGTTACTACGTAACTTTTTGAATGATCGATGATTGTTTTGAAAGTAAGAACGTGATACTATAGCTAAATATCTTGTACGATTGGGACGCTGTGACTCTAGTCTAACAGCCTTAAAAATAAAGTTATAAAAATCACATTAAGTTTCTAATGTTAATATTTTTTAATATTAGTTAATTTGTAGACTAAATTCTAATAAATTTTTAATATTTGTTTACCATTTTTAGAGTTTCATCACGTCTGAGCAAAATGAACATTTGTTGTAAGTGCTGCTGAATATCAGAGCTGTTACTTTGAACACTATTTGTTGATTTTATTGATTCTGTACTAAGACGTCGTTCCATCGTTGTAGATGGCAACTCCTTTGTAGGAAGAATTAATGCTGTCCCTTTACCAGCAAAGAAACATTCACTACAATAAAATATACTATTAAATTTAATCACATTCAATTTTGTATTTAGTTCAAATACCTATCCCCATTTTCATCTTCGCTTTCTTCCTTTTCAATATCCTGCAAAGTTAAACAAAAAAATTATGAATTGTTGGTACTAAAACAAATCGAAAGTGTAAAATTTGTTATGACATTTGGCTTCTTTGTGTATATATTTTAAGGAGGTGGTTGCTTGTCTAGTTTTATCTGAAGAAGTTTGATATAATTTTGTCAAAATTTAATTTATATTTCTTTATGAATTATATGTTTTTATATTAACTAAATATATATTTTTAAAAAATTTTCCACCTTAAACTCTTTTTATAGTGAATAAAACCGTATTGTTGGAGTTGAAATTTTTTTATACAAAATTTTTATTACCGATAATGAGCAATGAGGTGAATTAACTACACTTGGCGATCGTTGAATAGTAACTAATGCCATTTAATTCCTATAATAATAATAATTTAAATATAAATTAATTATAAAAAACTAATTTTCTTGATGCCATTGCCATTTTAAGAAAGAGAACTATAAAAAAAAAAATATGAATGACATTTGTGACGTTTGACAGTTTTCTATTCTTTTTTTTACTCGACAACACTAATTTTAATGTGCGATTTTAATTGTAGTAAATTGAAGTGTCATTAGTAAGACAAAGCACGTGCTTTCACAATTTTATAAAGTCTTATTTTATAAATAATGTTATTTGACATATATTTCTAAAAAAGATTTAAATTTAAGTTTTATTGCTTTTTTCTTTAATGAATGAGGATTTTATAGTTTTAGTGTTATAAAAAATATTTATTCAAATGTCAAGATTGTATTTTTTAATCTCCTTCAAAAATCATTTTTAATTAAAGTCTTTTATTTTTAGTTTGTTTAACACATTGACAAGATTTTATTTCGGCGTATTATTCTAGATATTCTCACATATATTTGTGTTTCATTGACACATATATTTATGTTCACAGTGAATAACGGCAGAAAAAAGCAAATAAATTAAAAATTTTAACTGTGAAAATTTTGACATTTTATCAAACAAAGTGCAGGTTATACTAATCTCTCGTGATTCATAATTTTTTCGTGAATCATAATGTCAATTTGAAAGAAAACGTAGAATTTTCGCTCTATAAAATAACGCAACTATATTAACAGAATTTAATAGAGCAGTGCTGCCGCTTATTTTAATTTTTTTTTTAAATTAATTTTCATATGCTTTTGACAACTATTGAAATCTGTTCTTATACATTACCGTAACAATACAGATGAAAAACATTTGTAACGTATATAATACAGTATGTAAGTAAATTAAACATTTCAATTTCTTGTAATTTTATATTACAATTTTAGTTTTTAGTCAATTTTAGATTCTTACATATATTAATTATTATTTTGTTTTTTAAAATGACATATGATAAAAATCAAAATATCTGAAAAAATATTGGAATGAATATTAACGTGAAGTGTAAATAGAAAACTCTTTAATTTCTTTCAACCAACCAAAACAAATTAAATAATGAGGAATGGCTCTTTGTAATTTTATATCTAATAATCTAATAGAAATTAGAATTATAATTTACTTAAAATACATAATATAAGTATGAAATAATTTTGACTTACGTTACAAATGTATAAGTTTACATAATAGCATTTATTTTGAGACGGCAATAGCAAAAACATAGTGATGTTTATCGTAAAAATTAAATATTATTTTTATTGTGAACACAAACCATTTGAAATGAAATAGTTTGTGTTTAAAATTTTTACGATAATATCCATTGAATTATTTATTATTTGTTTTTCATAATAAAACCAAATACAAATACCTTAATATCTATACACATCATTTTTATTTAACTAGAATTTTAAACTATATTGTAACGATGATGGTTTGATTTTCAAAACAAGTATTTAGGTTTGCCAAACAACTACTTTATACAACAAATAACAGGCTGTAAACCTTTAAAAGTAAAAATTTCAGGACGAATTGCTTGATTCTTAAATTTCGATATGGCTGTTGGGCAATCTTTAAATTGACTTAAAATACCTTGTTGTTCTTCTGTTGTACAAGTAATTTGTTCTGAAAAAAAGCAGGCAGGTATATAATATATATTTTTAATAAAATATAAATTTTACAATGTTTTACATTACATAATATGTAATTTAAGATTAAACATTAAATATGCAGGTGCGTAATACTTATTCTAACTCAGAAACTGGTACCTTATACTTAAAGGCTAGGTAGTGTATTAATCAAAACATTTTAATTAATTCTTAAACTATTGTTATGTAGAATATTAAAGCAATATAATATGATGTATATCGATAATTATCTTTTAATATAGATATTATGTAGGCATAGATGTGTGAATAGTACAAATTAAGCTATAAATTTAAGAAATTAGAATTAACACATTACGTCCCGTGTGCACACATTTGTGCTTTTCATTGAACTTCAAGAAAATCCCGTGTGCACACATTTGTGCTTTTCATTGAACTTCAAGAAAATCCCGTGTACACATATATGTGCGTTTTGTTGAATTTGAACTCAAACATCTTTATAAAATAAGAGAAAACGCCTTTATAAGATAACTAGCGAGGTAACGGTTAATTTCAAATTGTTTTCATCTGTAAAGTTAAATAATTTCGTCTGATCTCAAATTTCTCAAGAACTCTCTCACTTGAGTTCTCATTTGTCCCGTAAGGTCACTCTCTCACATGGGGTTTCATTTGCCCTGTATGATCTTTCTTTGTCTATTCTATAGTCTCCCGTGGTATATTATATAAGAACGATATATTTTTAATTTGCCCCGGTACCAGAGGAAAGTTTTTTAGAAATAACGCCGGGAGGTAATGTGTTAAAAAAAAATTGTCATGATTAATTTTACAATGAATTAATATTTTTTTTCGGTTAACACATATGTATATAATACAGCTAGATGCATAGATAGCTTGTTTACTATTGTATAAAAAAAACATTATACCTTATGTTTATTAGATAAAACTAAAATAGTTTCTATAATAAAACTATTAAGTGCAAAGAAAAAACTTTTATAGAGAATGAAGCATCACCGACAACCATCATCATTAGCTTCTTTAATAATATTTTAACTACTGTTACAATTTCGTCTCACCTAATTGGAAATAAGAGGGTTCTTCTAATTCACTTTTTTCAGTTGTTATTTGTTTTTGAGAATCCGTTTTTTTATTTTGATTTATTGTAAAGATACTTCCATCCAAAGAATTCTGGTATTCTATTTTAGATTCGTCATTTATTTTATTGTAAATTGGATCATTTTGAATGCAACAAATGATTGGTTCAAATTTATCAAAATAATAAATTTTTGGATAAATATTAACTTCCTTTAAGAATGCTATAGCTAATTCACAATTTACAAAACGTCTAATAGTACCCTTATACCCATCTTCTTCACAAGGGTCATTAATGTTAAATGACAATTCGCGGGGAAAAATTATTTTTCCATGAGCTATTTTAAGAACAAATAAAAACATTATTACTCGTAAATAAATGCAAGTGTAATTAAATTAATATATTTTTTTTTCAATTTTTGTTTTTTAATAATAAAATATTCATAACTAACCATTTGTATCTATGAAAAACATAAATGAAATGATGAAAATTATTAAAAAAAATTTCATTTTAAAATGTTTTCAAATTAAAATATACGATTATTAAAAACAAAATTAAACAAATTTTGAATTAAAAATGTGTGCTCTCAATATAACAGCTTTTATTATACTGAGTGTTGAATTTTAATTATATATGACTAATTATCAGAAAAATGTAGATGAGATTTTAATTTTTGCATTTTTTTTTTCAATTTTTTTACTTTTTGTTCATCGCTACTCAATGAAACATGATTATGGTTAGATACCTTTAAAACCAAGAGTATATAGAGAAATGAACTGGAAAAAAAGAAAAAAAAATTAATTAACTTGCAATAACGAATTGCTTTTGGAGAAAGAAAGAGAACAAGATTATAATAATAGAGAATTCCCGGAGATTGATTATTTTAATAGGGTAGCGTGTCACAAAACTTTACAGTGTGATAGAAATAAAGTTTAGACATTAAACTATTTCTCGCGATATTTAGGTTTTTTAGGTTCTACTGGTTCTACTCAATTAAAAGCTCTTTTTTGGAATGTTTATCAAAATAAAATTTCAGCGACTCTGATTAATTATTCATTTTAATTTTTTTCTGTATCTGCCGAGATTCACTAAAAATGACGTATAACACTTATAAATGTATGACGTACCTGTACGTCACATAATGAGCGTCGGCGATTTAAAAATATTGTGAGTTGAAAAAATGAATTAAGAAAAAAAAAATCAGAAAATATTAAAAATATTTTCTTATGATTATCAGATTTAATTCTGCAATAAAAAATAGAAAGATGAAACTGGTTATGCGCTTTTATTTTAAAGAAACTTCTTTGGTAATATTTGTAATGATATATAAATATGTATATATGTATGTAAATAAAACAGAAACTAGTTATTTTATATGAATCTTTACAAATGCTTTAAAACTTGTTCAAAAAATTCTTTAAATACAATAATAATTATGTTTTTTAAATCGCAATTGAATGCAAGTTGGATTTAATCAAAAAGCAATTTGATTACAATTTGTTCACAATGGTGACGTTTGTATGCTAAAATTAATCATGTAAAAAAAGAAAACAAATTTTTCTGACATACATACATAGTTTAAAATTGAATACTTTTACCGGTCACATTGCACACAACAAGGCAGGTTACATAACCTCATGATATGCGAAATATAGTGTGATCACAACAAATTTCGTTGAAATTTGGATGATCATAAGTTTCGTTGAATTCGGATGTCATAATGTTAAACACTTCGAAGAGCCAAATTAATATATTTCTAGATATGTTAACTAAAACTTTAAAATATGAAGTTGGTATTTAAAAAGCACTTTAATATTATTATTCCAAATTTTCGCTAAACTAGTCAATACACCTTGTTTTCGGTTATGTGCTGATCACATCAGATTTTCTCATATATGAAACAATTTAGATACAGCGGTCTGCACGTCTCTTTGGACATTAAAAAAGTTTAAAGTTATTATACTATTATTTTACTTAATGAAATAATCTATACAAATAAATGTTATAGTATTTGCACAAATATTATTTTACAATGTTGCCAAATAGTGAATATGGGATACTACAAATCTTCTAAAAGCTTTAAAATTTAAATTTTAATACTTAATATTAATTATTCATTTGGGCCAACTAAAAAAAAATGTGTTTTTATCCGAAAGTATGATTCCTAAAATCTATAATATGTTTTATTTCCACACAATTGATTCAATCCAATCCAAATAAGAGCTGATTCTAGTATATATACTTGGGATTTGTCCGGCACAACCAGAACCAGAAGATGTTATTCCAATAATATAAGGTAATTTCAAATCTGTTTTAATTAGAATTGGACCACCAGAATCACCCTGAAAAAAAAAAATTTAACATATTTATATATTTTTTAAATAGGTTCTAAGTTACATAAATATGCAAACATTTTCATATATTCATTAATCAATATTCAATATATTCACCTGACAAGTATCTTTAATACCATCTGGATCTCCAGCACATAATTGTGAATTTATTAATCCCAATGGAAATTCAGGTTGTGAATTATAATATTTATTGCACCGATTATTTTCATAAAAATTAAGTTCAACTTTTAATAAATCGTTTGATCTTTTACCAGCTAAATAATAAATAAATAATTTTATTTTAAATTAAACCAAAGTCAACAGAAAGTTTACCAAATTGAATATGTCCATAACCAATAGCAGTTCCTTTTTGATAATTTTTTACATCATTTAATTGCCATAAACATGCTGGTGTGTGAGTAGAATTGTTTGCTAATTTCAATATTGCAATATCATTATAGTTTTCTCTATTTTTATAAGAAGGATGTACATGAATATTCTGAATAGGAATATTAATTGTATATTGATCATCTAAACGATTACCACCCGTTCTGACAACAATAGGAGGAGCACTGTAAACGATATTTTAATTTTCATTTGAAATAATTTTTTTAAATAAAATTTTAACTAATTTCGTGTACATACCCTCCTAAATTAGTACAATGAGCTGCAGTTATTACAAAATTGTTTTCAATTAAAAATCCACCACATTTAAATTCTATTTCATTGTTATATTTTTGCCAGCCAATAGCCGCCTATTTTATATAAATTTATTAATAAAAAATATAAAATTTAAAAATTTATAAAATTATTACCATAAAAGGAAACTCTCCTATTTCAGTTAATTCACCTCCTACAACTTCTGGGTAAAATATTTGTTCACCATTAATAAAATTTGGTCGTGATGTTGTAGTGGTGGGTTTAATTTCATATATATCTTTACATCCTAAAGTAATTTAGTTATTTTAATATCAATAATTTAAAAATATTTTTAAAGAAGTGTTTTGTCATACTTCTGACACTGATTCTCTCGCTTGGTTTAACATTCAGTTGTGTTAAAATACTGTTTAATGGACAACAAACGAGTGGTTCAAATCCTTCAAAGCTACAGATATCAGGTTTAATTTGATTATGTTGTAAATCATATTGAACTTTAAAGCAAGAATGAATACTTGTACATTTTCCTTGTTCATTATTCCTTGATATTTGACAATCTTGCAATACAACTGTAAATATGGATAGGAATATTAGAGTACTTGAATATTACAATAAATTTTTGGTATTTCTTGTTAAAAAATTTAATATTATATACTTGTACCTACTTAATTCAAAAGTATTTGAGATAATTCCTAATATAATTAATTTATAAAATAACATCTTAATTAATAACTAACTATTATATTCGAAAAATATTTAAATGTCTTGCGCTTTCTTACGCCTCTTATATACTAAAATTAATTATCTTTAAAGGTAATAAAAATGAAATCTGATAAAACAAATTTTGCTTTTTTCTTTAATAAAGTGATAACTGCATTTGGTCTAATTTATTATCGTAAAATCAAGTACAATAAAAATCGGTAATGGAATGTATATCGGTTATAGAGGGAAAAAACTTTTTTGGTTCATTACCTAAAATTTATGAAAGAAAATTTTTTTGTAACAAAATCAACCAGTTTTTATGAGACAATAATTATAGCGAATGTTTTTACATCAGCGACATCTGTGATTACATGGAAATAAAATTGGTTACAACGAATACTTCTGCGTGATTGGACATCTAGTATTTTATGTAGGTAGCAAAAATAATTATGGTCGTAAACTTTTTGCTGTTTAACAAAAAATATTTTTTTTTTTTGTTAAAGCAGTAAATGTCATAAAAGTGGAAAAGTAAATACCTAAACCAAATACATATTTCTTAATTGTATACCGGTTATAATGAAAATCGGCTATAACGTTCATTTTTCCGTTTGAGTGTACGTTATAACCGATTTCTACTGCATAACTTTATTTCTCTCGTAGAAATAACAAATGATCAAGCTATAAGTAAATTTATTAATAAAGCGTATTTAGTCATTAGAGTCATTCATTAGTCTGATGCGTTGTATATAAACAAAGATTTTTTTGAAGTTTGTATATAAAGTGTGTTTAAACTGATGCGGAAAAAATTAGACCAAATACATTTTGTGTAAAAAGCATCACATAAATTTTTTAATTCGAGAACGAAAAATTTAAAAGAAATAATAAAAAAGTGAAAAATCAAGTTGAAATCAAGTTCAATTTTAAATTCTTCTTTATTGTGAATCGTTATACACATATACTGTATACACATATACATGTAGTAATAAGAAAGTGATACTATGAAAAATGTACTAAAATGATATTTAATTATTAAGAGCTGATTTGAAATATTCACTATTATTAGTACTCTATTCGAAACATAATGCACTGTTTTTATCACCTTTTTCAAATAAAAAAAATGTAAGAAAAGTGCTTATTATTTTGAGACTGGTTGCCCGTTCGTCTGTCCGTGTATCTGTTTACAAAAGTTTTACGACTTTTTAGAACTTTGAGATAGAAAGCTGAAAATTTTTATCTATTCAACCCTTGTAAAAGATACAACCATTCAAAGGATTAAAAATGTCATTTCTTGAATTTTGCAAACGCAAAAAGATAGTGCCAAGTTTCTGCTACAGTGACACAATTAAATATTGATCGTTACCAAAAATACGTTTTTTCTTTCACACTCTTGATATGGTTTTTCTTCTATAAACCGGTAAGTGCGAAACTTTAATAGCATCCTCCGCCTTCAGCCGAGCTATGGCTTCTTGAAATTCGTAAAATTTAAATTTTCCAAAACTACAAGCTTTCAAATTTAATAAAAGCGAAAAGGTAGTGGTATGCCACCAAAAAGTATAATTACTTTTCTTAATTCACTAACTTAACTGTCTAATTCAATCATTCTGTTAAAGACTTTTCACCTACGTTGTTTTTGCTCATCCTAAATGTATGCAATTATTTTATGCTGTTTGGTATAAATGAATGAAAATAATTTAAATAATGGTGTAGACTGTAATTTGTTATTAAAAGCAATATTTGTATTTGTTTGGAAAAGTGCTTCTTTACAAATCATTGGTTTGGTCTAGCTTTTAAAATAGCTATGAAACATAAATTTATAATTTTGTACAATAACTACTCATATTTATTACGTAAGGCGTTTCATTAATAATTATTAGAACTTATTCAAATCAAGTTTTGTTTTAAATTTAATGAATAAAAATTCACGGTTTAAGCTCAATTTTTTTTTTCATATTTGTGGAAGATAATATATTTATACACAAGACAAAATATATATATATAAATTAATTAATGTTATATATGTAAATTGTTGACACTGTCAACGACACGGTATTTTAATTTTATCAACTTCTAATAAGAGACCTTGTTTATTAACAGAACTTTTAAAATGCTACACACCATTCTTGATGACATTTTCTTATTTAAATTTTGTAATTTTTTTCGTTTCTTTTTAAACATTTATATTCTTGCTATGTACAGATCTATAAAAATTGAATAAATTATACGTCACATTAGGGAATTACCTGACTTTTTCATGTGAGTATTTTTCTTATTTTCTAGAAAATATATTAATTTTTTTTAATTAAAAAGAGTTATAAATAGTTTACAGAAGAGTGATAATATGCAAATTATAAAAAAATATCTCGTGTATTTCATTAATGACGAATCATTATAAAAATTTAAGCTGTTAATTTTTTATACTAAATTTTTTATTAAAATTTCTACACAACATTGAAGTAGTTTATTAACCAAGGTTTGCACATCAAACATATATTTGGTTTGATTTGATCAAAGTTCGATGGTGTTTGATTTGCAAATGTGTGCAAATTTTGTTTAAAAAAAATTTATAAAATTCTCGATTAAGTTTTAAAAATTTCATCAACTAAATTCCCTACAGCTATTAAAGCGAATAAATCTTTACAAAATAAAAATTGGAATCGAAAAGTTAAAAATATTGTCAATGATTTTCTTTGGTACTGCTACAATATTTTTTTTTGGTCTTTCTTAAAATCATATCCAATTTTTGCAAAAAACGGAAAAAGAACCATGGATATTCTTCGATAATTTAGAAACATACTAACCGAGCGGATTGCATACAGTAAGGGGTGATAACACTAAATTTCAAATGTTGATAAAATTTCGGGTCAACCTATAGGTTTCCAAGAAAATCAGATGCCAAAAACCAGACTTTTTCTGCGATCGCAATTCATATATGAGTTCACATAGAGAAAAATAATTACACAATTTCCTTAAAATTTGACACTTTAACTTTGGTTTTTAAAACAATAAACTGTTAAAATTTTTGGGAATATAAGGACCCGAAAAGCGAACTTTCGGTAAACTAGCAAAATACACTTTGCGATCTGTTAAGTGCTGTGCCGATCATATCAGGTTTTTATACTCTACCCTACACCTTTGTGAAGGATATATATTAACTTTGGTACGGCGAGTTTCTGCGGTATGGACATGTATATATATTCTTGCTCAGCGTTAATTCTGCATTGATTTAGACATGCCTTTCCATCCGATCGTACGATAACTCAAAAACGAATAAAGCAAATACAACCAAACTTTCACAAGTTGTTTCTTCTATGCCAAGAATGTACCCTATTGTTTGATAATCGAACTCATTCGGTCGATGGGTTCGGGTGGTTGCCATACAACTCAAACAGATTATATTTCATATATTTCAAAAGCTAATAAAAATGTCAATATGAAGTATATTTTACAGATGCTCTAGAAACTTACGTGGCATAGTTGCACTGATCCGGGAAGCTGCCATATAATTTCAAAAGCTAACTTTATATATTGGCTAACTTTTAGTCCCGTGTTCAATTACATGTAGCACATATTTTTGAAGATTTTCTGAATGGTTTGATAGGCTCGAGTAACTTAAATGCAACCTTGAAAGTTAATTCTTAATATTTCAAAAATAAATTTTTACATTCAGATTGTCAAGGTTCAGGGTATAATTCAGTTAGTTTAGACAGACTGAAACGTTTTTACTTAAACGTCTTCATGTAATATTTACACAAAAATAAAATGTACTACAACCTTATGACCACTCCTATTCGATTCGCTTCGGGCAAAATTCAATGATGTTATTTATTATTGCTTGATTGGTAATGGATTTTTTATTTTTTTGCAACTGAAAAATTCAATTGAAATTTATGAATCACACAAAAAATTGTATAACTTGAAATTAATTAAAATTTAAAAAGATATTAAAAATTTACTGCGAAGTTTGGGAAGTTGCTTAAATTTTAAAATCAAAATCAAATTTAAAAGTTTTAAACAATATTATTGTAGTATAAAACACTCTTAAAATACTTTAAAAATTTCAAATATTTTAGAACTAATCTTAAGACTATTTAAAGCAATAATGTTAAGAAATTAAAAATTTTTCATCTTCATTATTTCCTGGCCAAATAACAGATTCAATCCAATCGATATAGGAACTTATATTAGTATAAATTCCAGGTATTTTTGTACCACAGCCTTGACCGTATGAAACTATGCCAACTATTCTAGGACTAAATGTGAGACTACTTTGTAATAGTAGTGGTCCACCTGAATCACCCTTTATCATAAACAATTAAATCCAGAAACAAAAAATTTGTGGTTACGATATATGTGTACCTATATATTTTTCAAAGAAATGTACCTGGCATGTATCTTGAATTGCAATTTCCGTACCATTAAAATGTCTTGTATTCCCTTGGACACATAACTGTGATTCAACGATTGGTTGATTTCCATATTCTTTAACACATTCACTATTATCAATTATTTTAAGATATACTTTCAGCAATCTTCTTGCAAAGGCGCCCCCTAATAACAAAAGATTTAATGTTAAACTATATAATGTAAAGCTAGACCATTGTATAATTACAAATTATATACCAAATGAAGTTGATCCGTAACCCATTGCTATAACATTTGACTGATATGCTAATTCTAACTTTCCAAAAGAATATAAACAAACCGGAGTTTCACTTAAAAAAAAATAATTGGTTTTAATTTGGATTTAAAATTACATGAATTTTTCTTTATCTTTATATTTACTCAACATGTTGTCCTAGTGCTAAAATTGCGATGTCATTCAATTCTGTATTACTTTCATAATTTGGATGTATAATGACTTTTACTACCCGTATAGGCTGAGTTGCATTATCTGACAGTGGATTTCCTCCAATCCGAACCACAATAGCAGGTTCTCTATTTAAATTAATGTATGCGTAAGACATATGATATCACAAGATTTTTTTTTTACAATTATACCCATTATATTTGGCGCAATGTGCCGCTGTTATTACATAATTTCTTTCAGCTAGAACTCCACCGCAATTGTAAATAGGATTTTTAGCATCACCATATCCAATAGCAGCCTACATAAAACTAATTTATAATAACAATGTATTATTATATCTTAATAATAAAGAATGTACCATAAATGGAAACTCATTTGGTTCTGTTTCATATCCTGCTACTGCACCAAAAGCTCCTTCAGGTATTTTTGATGGATAAAATTGTTCACATTCTAAAATAAAAAAAAATCTGTTAATTATAATTATTTTACCGGTGTTTTTTTAACTCTGTACTTACTTCTCTGACTTACACGTATTGTAGATCTATCAAATACTAAGATTGGATTAAATGGAGGACAACAAACAAATAATTCAAAACCGAGGAAATAACAAATTGTTGGCCTAGTTCCATTTTCTTTTAATAGGTTTTGGGCGGTAAAACATTGCGATAATGGAATACAAGGTTTATGACATTTAGTCTCTTGACTAATTACTATAAAAATGTTAATAATTATTTGTAGTTGATTTAAATTTTATTTTGTCCTTATTACCATAGTCAGCAACGTGCAACAATAAAGCGATAAAAAATATTCTTAAAGAACGAATCATTTAGATTTTTTGTAAGTATTTAAAAAAATCTGTTTGAATTTATTTTAAACCAAAACCCATAAAGGTTAAACTGATACTAAATTTTAAATCAGGCAAAAATTATACAACTGATATAAATATTAACGTGCTCTACTCAGCTCAAGTCATAAACTGAGATTAAGTCTCTTTTTACTCTTCATAAACAGGTTTCCTATTTTTATGGGTGTGTGCGTATGCTTTGTTTAGTACTTTTAGTTTTTTTTTCTCTCTATCTAGTTATTGGTGTATAACTATTAATGATAAGAAAAACAACCTGTTAAGCATTAAGTAAAGTGCGATCTTCTCTCAGATGTTTCTTTTCTTATTCTTTTTTCATTGAGCTATTGAACTTGAACATTAAGAATTGAGAATATGTACTTTTAGAGATTAATTTTATTTTTTTTATTACATTATAGTATAGAATTAATGTTGTTATGAAAATACAACAGAAAATTAAATATCCTGTGAAATTTTCTCTCTCTGGTTTACACTATTCATATTAATTAAATTCATCCACTGTTAAAGTTTTGTTGAGAAAATGTTCATTTTTAAACGAAAGATTTTCGTCACATTGGTTTCACTTGAAGAGCATGCCGACTTAATCAAATTCTCTTGATTTTGTAGAATAAAAACAATTGAAAGAAGGAATAAATTTTCTTTATAGGCGAAAAAAAAGTATATTTGCATTATCATGTAAAAATATAAAATTAAACTTTAAATGTTAATTGATGACACCTGCTCATATTAAGCGACTATAAATATTGGCTCTTCATTATTTTGTGGCCAAACAATTGATTCAATCCAATCAATATAAGAACTAATATTTGTATAAATTCCAGGTATTTTTGTACCACAGCCTTGACCGTATGAAACAATACCAACCACACGAGGTTTATATGTAAGAGAACTTTGTAACAATAGGGGTCCTCCTGAATCTCCCTGTTAAAATAAAAAAAAATTAAGATTTTTTGCATTTTTTTAATTTTTGTTTTTCATAAAAATCTTACTTGACATGTATCTTGTATAACAGTTTCCGTATTATTCAGTTGTCGTTCATTACCTTGTACGCATAGTTGTGATTCGACAATTGGTTGATTTTGATAATCTTTTTTGCAAACATCGTTCTCAATAACATTTAAATACACTTTTAACAGTTTCTTAGAAAAAGCCCCACCTTTGTGAATACAAAAAATTAGAAGTAAACCAATTTTTAATGATTTTTAATAATTATTTTACCAAACGATGTTGAACCATAACCCATAGCAATTACTTGCGAATAATATTCTAATTCTAAATATAGTCCCTGAGGTTCATTTAAGCAAACCGGCTTTTCACTAAAATGTATAATAAGAAAAAATAATAATTTTGTTTCAAAAAATATATTCCTATATTATTTACTCAACATGTTTAGCCAATGCTAATACTGCAATATCGTTTAGTTCCGTACTGCTTTGATATTTTGGATGAACAATTACTTTTACTACCTTTATAGGTTGTGTTGCATTATCTGATAATGGATTCCCTCCGATTTTCACTACTGCTGCTGGTTCTCTTTAAAGATTTTTTTTATAAAATAAGCCTATCATATGTAATATGTGTGTAATGTAATAATTTTGATTAATAAATGAAATATACCCATTATAGTAGGCGCAATGTGCTGCTGTAATGACGAAATTTTTCTCAACTAAGATGCCACCGCAATTATAGATAGGATTGCTAGTATTTCCATAACCAATTACAGCCTGGAATTATGCACTTATAGATATTACATAGAAAAGCTATAAAATTTGATAATTTACCATGAAAGGGAACTCATCGGGTTCAGTCTCATATCCTCCTATTGCTACAAAAGGTGGTGGAGTTGGATAATATTGCTCACATTCTATATGAAATAAAAAGCTCATTAATTAAGTTATAAAAGAACAATTTTTAAAAAGTACCATGCAACTGTTTTAATGAAAGTTATTTATACAAAATTACTTTCACTGTTATTTTCTTTAACATTACCATACCACTAAACGTGTATTTTTAGAGTACATTTCCGAGTACTTACTTTTCTCACTTATTCTTAATGGTGGTCTATCGTCTTCAAGTTCTGGAATATTTAACGGACAACAAACGTACGGTTCATAACCAATAAAATAACAAATAGTCGGTCTAGTACCATTGTGCTTCATTATTTGTTGAGCTGAAAAACATCCTGAAAATGGAGTGCAAGCTTTATCACAATTCGCCATTTGACTTGTACCTGTATTATAAATTATTTTAATTAATTTTATACAATTATTACGTTAATTAACATTAGATTCTTACCATTTTCAATAAAATATAGAAAGCAAAAAATGAAAAATATTTTTATTAAAGGAATCATTTAAATTTTCGGTTTTTTCGTCTTTTCCAGTTATAAAGTTAAAGGTTGAGAACATACTAAAAATACCATCTAAATTAAACTTCTACAAAAAATTATAGTCTTTTGACTGCATCTTAAAACTCTTATCAAACTTGTTTTTCTTTTACTGGATATTTTACGATATTGTTAAATATAATGTTGATATTCCAAGTTCAACACATTATTTGGTTCTCAGAATATGTGATGTGCATGTGTATGTGGTATTTCTTCATTTTTTTAAGTAGGAGTCTGAGAAAATATTGAATTGCTTTTTACTCAAAAATAAAAAAAAAACTCATGGTGGATAAAAGTTTTGAAACATAAAATCTGTCGTATTGTTTGTGTGAGAAGATATTTTGCATCGTATTTTGCTTTGTTCAAATGTTTTGAATTGTGATGGTGAATTATGATCTTGAAAGGTGAATAAAGTTTTTCAAACATAGCTGAGTTTTGCACTTCATTATTTCGAACGTAACTATGAGTATTTGCGTAAAGAATAGTTAAATGGTATTTTCTATGAATAAAATATTCAAGGTTAATTTTTTGAAGTTTTGGAAAGAAAATAAATTTTTGTTAATTGCATTAAACAATAAAAACAAATATCAATTTGCGAATTCTTATAAATTTATTTTCTGATTCAATTCGTATATAACTTCATTTATGGTGAAATTTTTGATTGAATCCATTCATAATAGGATGAAACTCTTGTATAAACACCTGGCATATCACTTTCACATGGGTATCCAAATGAAACTATGCCAATAACCATTAAAGTATTTTTCTTGGTAAGTGGTCCACCAGAATCACCCTATAAAAAATTCGAAATGTAGTGGATATATTTCCAATATATTAAAAATTTTAAAAATAATCTTAATCTCTAATTTATTATTTGTCTATAATATCTAAATAGCTTACCCGGCATGTGTCACTACGTACAGGAATCTTTCTATTTGGTAATAAAATCTGATTTGATAACGCACATAGCTGAGATTCAATAAGATCTCCATAATATTTTGAACAATTTGTTTGATTATATATTAAAAAATCTGCTTGTAATAATTTTTCAGATATATCACTATCTATTCATATATAAAAATTAAATAAATATTTTTATACTACAAAGAAAAATTATGTAATTTATTTAATTTTTTTTTACAAAAATGTGTCCTTCCATATCCAGCCGCTATTACTTCTGTTTCATCCGGTAATATGTAATTTTCATTTGGAATGCAAGCTGGTTGATTACTATGTGCAATAAAATATAATATTTAATTATATTTAAATCTTTAATGAACTAATGAAATTTTATAATATACTTGACTTCTTCAGCAAGCCTTAATATGGCTATATCATGATATTTTTGTTTCGAATTGTATTTCGGATGTTGTGAAACACTATTTATTCCAATAATTTTACTTGAATTTTTTATATTGCCACCTCCTACAATGGCATACCTTAATGGTAAATATTTACTGCAAATATAGTTTTTTTTAAACGTGTTAAAAAAATTAAATAAATGTTAAGTATATAATATTAAAATACCCATGATTAAATGAACAATGAGCTGCTGTTAGCACATACAATTTATGTATTAAAGTTCCTCCACATGCAAAAAATTTCTCAAATGGAATATCCCATGACAAACCAACCTTTGCGAGAAAAATTTTGAATAAGAATAATCTTATTTTTTACTATATTCAAAATACCATATAAGGAAAATCTGCTGGATCCGCTTCCTCACCATTTGATATCTTAAAAACAGTGTTGATTAGGTCAAATTTAACGGGTAATTGACATTCTAAAACAATTACAAAATAGTGTAAAATTCTTTTTTATAACATAATAATTTATTTAAAAAACTCAACCTTGTGGATCTTCTTCAGGACAACAAACATATGGTATTTTTCCAGTTTCTTCATCAAAGAAACAAGTAATTGGTGAAATATTCAATTCAAGCCAAGACCGAATCGCCGAAGTACAATTTCTAAAAGGAATGCATTTTGAAGAACATGGTGTTATTATTTCCGGTTGCCCATTAATGCCTAAATATAATATTTCAATAAGGCGAAAAATTTAAAATTCCGAAGTTTTAATTTTATGTTTTTATTTTAATGTACCATTTTTAAAAAATGTTAAAAAAACAAAGATTAATTGAATCAAAAACATTGCTTTTTTTTAGTTGATAAGATACGATGAGAGATGAACTGATAAAATTATATAAAAGAAATTTCTAACCGCTATGAATATTTCGATTGAAGTCGAAAACTTTACTAAATTGATAATTTAGAAAATAATGAGTATGTCCCAAAGTTTCGATTGTTTATGTGAATGTTAGTACTTTCACAAGTTTAAATACTTATGTTAACAGTGTACGTACATGATATTGAAAATATTACGCGACTTTTCGATTAACCTGCGGTAAATTTACTAAACAGCGGTAAAGAGTAAATACTCGTTGTAAAATGCAATAACCTATTTTGAGTAAACGAAAGCATTTTCATTTTGAAATTTGTATAATTGACCACCTATTTTATGTATGACAGGCAACATGTAATATTGTATCGATTGTATTTAAAAAGTTAGAACAAATCAAATGTATTGTTTGTGCTTTGTAAGCATTAAATATATTGCATAAGTTTAGGATATTGTATTCGAAATTTCCCTTTCTTTATTGTAATACCTAATACATAATATATATTGCATACAATAATTACCGCATTGCATACAGTAAGGGCCGTTATGTGATGGCAACAAGTTTCAGATATCGAGTTTTCTGAACAAAAGCGTTTTTCTATGGTAGGGAAGCGTAAATAAACTATTTTGAGAGAAATACCGATCTATCAGTCTTTCGGTCTTTCGATCTGTTTCAAAATCAAACACTGGAATATACTTTAAGTTTAAATTACAGATGATGAAATGCAAAGATTTTTATAATTTTATTCATATCAAAAATGTTAAAAAAATGTAGGTATTTTATCAAGTCTAAGGTCACAAGTACCTATAAGTACATTTACTAAAAAATGCAGGGAAATTTTAAAAGCACAAAATTAAAAATAACCCTTAATTTAATAATAAAATCGTACTTATTTATTTCAAATTAAAGGGTTTTAACTTCTTTTTTAGTAAATCAAATTTTTATTCAGAATGGCTATGTTTAAAGCTTATAAAATATAAATTAATAATCAGTCAAGAAGGAGAACAGTTTCATTTACGTACGTGCTTAAAATCTATAATTAATTTTTATTATATTGAAAAATTTCAGATATCATTATGATATTTTCTGCATTTTGTTGGGCATATATTTAATACATAATTATTTTTATGTAAATATTCAATAAATTAGGTTATTTTCGAGTTAATCCATTCGAAATATGAAGCAATTCTTGTATAAACACCTGGAAAACCACCACCACACGGCAATCCAAATGATACTACACCAACAACCGTTAGAGTATTCTTAATGACTAATGGTCCGCCGGAATCACCCTAAAAATATACAAAATACATATAAAATTTCGTGTTAATTTAATAAATTGCTAAAGTTGGAGTTACTTGACATGTGTCAGCATGAATAGGAAATGTTTTATTTGGCAAAAATACAGGATTAGCTAAGGCACATAATTGCGATTCCATAAGCGGGCCATATAATCTTTCACAAGCTGTTTGATTATGTACCACTAGATCAGCTTTTAATAAATTTTCAGATATATCGCCATCTATATATATATGTGAATAGTTTTAAATTTCAAATAAAAAAAATAAATAAATATTCCTGCAATAATTTACAATTTAAAGTTTTTACAAAATGATATTTTTCCATAACCAGCTGCAACAACTTCTGCGCGATCTCTTAATATATCATCTGGTTGAGGTAAGCACGCTGGTTGATGACTGTAAAGTAATTATAATATAAATATTTATTTCCAAAAGTATTTAGAGCTTTATTTTTTTTATTCATTTTTATTAGTAAAACCTGGCTTCTTCAGCTAATCTCAATATCGATATGTCATGATTTTTGCGTTTGGGATTATATTCTGGATGTTGGGATACTCCAATAATCCGAATAGGTTTATTACCTTTTCTAATAGATCCGCCACCTACAACTGCATATTTTAATGGTCTATAAGTACTGAAAAAATATTCTTAAATAGAAAAATTTTTTTCAATATATAAAAGTTACATACCCATTATTAAAAGAACAATGAGCTGCTGTTAGAACATAAAATTTATGAATTAGGGTGCCCCCACATCCAAAAAAGTCCCCAAATGGTGTATCCCATGACAAAGCAACCTTTTAATTAATTTATTTATAAAATTTTAAATTTACTTATGAAATTTGTTCTACACGTAGATAACATTTATTTCAAGTAATACCATGAAGGGAAATTTTTTCGGATCAGCTTCGTTACCATTTGTTATTCTTGTATCCAATTCAATATCTCTGTCGACTCTTATAGGTGTATGGCAACCTAAAACTAAAATTAAAATTTTAAAATTTTTATAATTAATAGAATAAAAATAATAATTTTACTTTGAATTTCATTTTCCTCGCAACACACATGTGGAATCTTTTTAGTTTCTTCATCATAAAAACAAGTTATTGGTGTTATATTATATTGAAGAAAGGATTGTGTTGCACTCGGGCAATCTTTTAAAGGAAGACATTTTGAAGAACATGGTGTTCTCATTTCTGGTTGTCCATAAACATCTAATATTATTTAAATATAGAAAACATATAATAAGAAATTTTTTTAAAAATTGAGCTTTAAATTAATTAATATTGTTATAATTTAGAAATGGTTCAAAATAACATTGAAAAATCAAAACGTACACAATAAAATGTATCTTTATAATATGCAAATAAACACAAACAAGTTGACATTGTTTGTAACATAGACAAATTAAAATTCAAATAAAGACGTGAGGATCAAAAAATTTTCGACACAGGACTCAACAAATTTAAATGTAAAATTATATGTGTAAATGTGTATGTTTACTCTCATTTTCTAATTATTTCAATCTACAATTACCACCTTTAAGTTTTTTTATCGAAATTATTTCAGTCGAACATGGTTCAATTATTTATAAAAAATTTGTTATAGTTTTACTGTTATACTTATAAATTTTCTGAATACGGTTTTCAAAGAACTTTTTGATATTTTGTATTTAAATATTCAATGAAATTAATTAAAGATGAAAACAGAACGAAAGCGATTTTCTGCAGCGAAATGTCAAAATTCGAAATTAACGTTACGAAATTACCCGACGGCAGTATTTTTTGACATTATCTGGACAGTAAGTTGATTTTGCTGCTTCGTTGCTGTTCTGTGTTAACAACAGAAATCGTCCGCCGTTGCTGTTCATCGCTTTGGTTCTGTTTTTACACTAACTGTTGCTTATTTCTCTCTAATATTTATAATATATATGTAATTTTAAAAAGTTTTTACACCTTCATACAGACAAATTGAGCTTTCAAATTTTTAATAATGAGAATATTTTGTTTATAATTAATGCTTTAACTTCAAACATTAAAAAGAATAAGTTTTTGTAATCTTTATTAAATAATAACCATACTTAACCATATTACAATTTTATAAATATGTATATACGTTACATATACATTAACATACACATAATTATTAATATATTTATAAATGTACGTATTTTAATTAAACAATCACACAAGTAAACATTTAGTTATTTTAATTGGAAAAAATTAAATTTACAAACCATTTGCACGAAATGTTAAATAATTAATTACAAAAATTGTTAGTAAAATCATATTTTTCACATAATTGTATTTTAATTAAGCAATAAAAATATTTGGTTCGCTATATTAAACAGGTTTTAAAAAATAATTAATAATTGCGGTTTAACTATGTTAACAAACGATATAAACACGTCGAAGTGAAATCAAAAACTAAACAGAAATTCAAAGAGAGCTGAGTGCTTGCTAAAATCGTAATTAATTTTTTTTTCGCACTTTACTTTGCTCAATTTTCATAATAAAAATTCAATTCTCTTTTTTGTTTTGATGGTTTTGAGAAGGTTATTATCACAACACAAATCAATTTCTAAAATGTTGCTAAAAAATTTACCACTTTCGTTTATAACCACAATTATTTTTGTATATATGAAAGTAATACTCGTAATCAATAAAAATGTTTTAAAAATTCTCTTTCTTATTTAATACTTAAAAAACTTATACTACTTGCGTTCCATTTACATATTCAAGCTATTCATGCTAGGTTGTAAAATGAGTAGATATATAGTTTTGTTTTATTGTTCAAAAATGTCAATTTATTGTGATTAAGTACCAAAATAACTCATTTTGCTCAAATGCCAAAATAACTCATAACATTATTGTTTGTAGCAGTGCAGTTGTGTTGATTTTTGACTACTCACGACTCATGAGTAGTTTGAAGACGCTATACTGGCAATTGTGTAATCTAATCTAGAAAAATTGAGTATTACTGTCTCTGTAATTGATTCAAACAAAATATTTCTCCTAAAAGATATTTGTCAAACCTATACGAGACTTAACATTATTTGAACAGTTGAAAGTTATAAACTGTATTACATTGTACATTATTAATATTTTTAAAAAATAAAAGTACATTTTTGAGTCCATTTTGAAGAAGTTATGAATAAAAGATAATTTCCGGGTAATTGCTAGTATTTTGCAAATATTCAGGATTTTGATGTTTATTTTTCACATATAAAACTAATGAGCGTACTCTCTTTAACTACTTAAATCTTTGCATTCGTGTCATGCAGTGAGGTGTAGCAGTATTATACACGTTTAGACTTTTATAATATTATATACTCTTAAATGGAACGCTACAATATCATAAAATTGTTTTAAAAATATCGAACATAGCATACAGAGTGTATCGAACTGGTATACTCTCTGAGATTGAATCTTAAAAATAACTATGTATTTTGATATTGTCCAAAATCATATTATTTTTGATTACTTCTAATTTAAATAAAATTTTAAGAATTTTTCTTTTATTTTGTAAAAGATCTCATTTGTATATTAAATCGGTTGTTGTAAATTTTAAATGAATTATCAAAAATAGTCCCAGTATTAATTTATTACTTTAGGTCAAAATTCGTAAAAAAATTAATCAATTAAAATTTTTTAACAAAAAAAAATATTCGAGAGAATCAAAACGAGATTAAATTTGAAATCAAGAGAAATATGCGATCAAAATAAAAAGATGACGCATTTTAAGATGTTTGGCTCTTTTTTTCTAGATACTTTTGTTTTTGTTAACATCTGTGATCTGTTATAAGTATAGCACTTATTAATTTTTAATCAAAAGGTGTAAATTGGGTGTTTATTGATAATTAAATGAGTGTTTTGGTTAACGATTTGCAAAAAAGAGAGTTTTAATTATAAATTATGAGAAAAAATTCAATTTTTTTTAAATTGAAAACAATACAAAAATATCACGAATGTTTTAGGTGTTCCAATTTTTGTTTTAAAATCATAATTGGGTTAAACGTATATTCAAAGATCCACATAAAAAATGCTTCATTTCAATTCTATTAATGGAGTCGAAGAACTTAATAAAGTAGATTTAAAGTTTTGAAGTCTTGGGGTATTGAGAAATCTGCTCTCAATTAATTAGGAATAGTGCACTATTTAAATAAATACTTATTTACCCAATACTAACCTATAAATACACAATAAAAATGGCTTTCAAATTATTTTAAGGGAAGAATAAAATTAATTTTTAAATTCATTTTAAATCTTTGTACATGTATTTATAAATAAAAAACGAAAAAAAATACATAATTTCTTTAAATAAATTAATACTATAAACTTCTTATAAAATATGACTTTTTTTTCTTAAGCAACTAGCATGGTATTTGTTCATCACCTCTAAGAGCTATGCAAGCTTTACATATATTATTAAAAATATAGAACGAATACAATAAAACTTTTTCTTGTACGCATAAAAATGTAAAAAGTTTACCTACCGAACGCAATTGATTCTATCCAACTTAAATAATTTGAAACTTTTGTATAAACTCCAGGTGCATTACCACCACATGATTGACCAAATGATGTTATACCAATTATAAATGGTACTTTCTGATTTTGTACATTACCATTTACAATTAATGGACCACCTGAGTCACCCTTTATTAAAATATAAAATTTTTTTTTGATTTTAATATAACCATTTTTTGATTGTTGTAAATAAATTTTAATTACTTGACATGTATCTCTTCCTTTTCCAAGATATCCAGCGCATATGTGACCACTAGATAATCCTTGTGGAATTATTTGACTAGGTGGAAAATATGGTGAACATTCTTGATGTGTATATGTTCGTACATTAATTTTTAATAGTTCAGATGAAAATTTACCAGCTGTTATTAAAATTTAAAATTAAATTTTTTAAAACTCTGTCGTTTTGAGAATTTTTTTTTGTTATACCAAATGAAGTTGTTCCATATCCAACAGCTATAGCGTTAGTGGGGGAATTAATACTTGGTCCAAACCAAAGACATGCTGCGGTTTGCCTACATAATATTTTATAAATTTATTATCTCATAAGTCATAATATATTAAAATCAAATATAATCACATACGGAGCATAATCTGTTAATTTAATTAGTCCAATATCATTGTAGTGATATCGACTGCTATATTGAGGATGCACAAAAACTTCGGATACTCTTATTGTTACACCTTGACCAGAATTTAAAGGAAGCCCACCAGTTTCAACAACACTTGGTGCCGATCCACCAAGACTCAGACAATGCGCAGCTGTTAAAACAAATCTTCTGTTGAATTGACAAATAAAAGAAGGTAAAGTTTATATTGTGATTCATGTGAATAATTCTAATGAAATATACTTTGAAATCAATGCTCCGCCACATTTAAAATCATAGCCTCTTCCATAACTTTTCAACCATCCAATTGCGGCCTAAAATTTTAAATTAGAATGAAATCCTTATACCTATATAATTTTATGTAAAAAAAGAAATTTGTTTATACCATATACGGAAATTCTCCAGGATATGTTTTTGTTCCACCAACAATTGTTGGAACTGCCACTCTTCCATAGGATGCTAAACGTTGCTCATAACATTCTTAAAAAGTAAAAAAAAATATAATAAATCGTCAAAATTAACATAATCATTGGAAAAAAAAACTTGTTTACTTTTTTCACTTAATCTTTGACCTGAAACTTTTTGTTGTCTTGTATCTATAGAATTACTTCTCGTTCCTATTGAAGTTGAAGACGATGTTCCACAACATACAGTTGGATTAAAACGATTATTTGCATTACAAACAGTCGGTTGTATATGATTATATCTTAAATAATGTAGTGCTTCTGAACATGACTTTAATGGTATACACTCACCCGGTTTATTTAAACTTGTTAAACAACTTTGTGCGCTACGTAACAAAATTGGTTGTTGTTGTCTATGCCTACGAGTATTTCTATGGTTTGTTGGATTGTGATATCTTCGATATTGTCCTACCGTAATGTGTTCTGAAATTAAATAAGTTTCAGTTAACAGATTTAATTTTATTAAATGCTTGTAAATTCTTACCATTTGAAATAAAAATTAAAAGTAAAAAAATTTGAAAAATTGAATTTTTTAATAAGTTCTTTAACATATTTATTATTTAGTTGATGTTATTCCAAAAAGAGTTAAACTGGATATGAAATAAATTCTTAAGAAATGTTCGAATTATATTAAATTTTGGAATATTTTTGATTAGCAAAAAAAAAATTAAAATATATGTGTATGTATGTATGAACATAATAATTTTTGTCCACATTAGAAATGAGTTAAAAAATGGATTAAAAGAATATTTGTGCCATAAACTTTATTATTTGTATCAATGTTCTTAATGGTGTAAAAGGCAGGATCGGCTTTCTATGTGTGAAAACAAAATCAAAGCTGTGAACGACAATAGCGGCCGATTTTCGTTGTTAACACAAAATAACAGCGAAACGGCAAAATCAGCTATTCATTATATTGCATATAACGTCATACACACATGGAAACAGATGATGTTAATATAAGCGCCAATGGTAACATGAAATTTAGACTATATTATCGCCGTTTGTTTAAATTCGCGTTGATAATTTCACTTTAGTCCCTTGAAATATGTACTCGTATATTTTATATGAATTTTGACAATTCGCCGCGTAAAATTTCTCATTTTGTGAGATCATTTTGAATATTGTGTTCAATATCACTAGAATTCTGGTGATATATTAGCTTAAAATATTCTCCAGAATTGAGAAATTGAACTCAATATTAAATAACAAAGGTTTTTCTGCACTTATCTCCGTTTGTAGAAATGAAAGCTCTGGCTTCTTAATACCTACACGAAATTTTATAGATTTTTTCCTTAAATCTTAACGGGATTTTTTACACGTTTCTTTATTTACTAATATTTATATAAAATTTATCGTTAATTTTAATTAATTAATTTCAATAATTTTCCTAAAAATTCCTATTATCCAAACTCACTTTAGACTAAGTTCGACTCTGTCAGGCTATATAAATGTAATTTTTTAAAACTTTTAAATAAAACAAGTTAGAAACCTCAGTAAATTAAATAATCAATAAATACACACACGATGAAAACCTGATTAATGTTATCTTTTTTATATTGTATCATCTTTTCGACTTTATTGGTTTAACATAATCCTAATTTATTAAATACAAACTCATATAAAATGAGTTTTATATATTAAATATGTTAGTGTTAGTTAATAAAAAATCAAAGTGGTAAAAAAGTCTACCCTTTCAAAACCAAAACCATTAATATTTTGACTACGTCATTTGATTGCGTGACGTTCGAAATCTCATTTGTTTTTTAAATTGACTGGTCATCGTCATAAAAAAATTAAAGCTTTTAAAAGTTTGTATTGTTTTCATTCATTCTCTTAATGAAATATAAAAACAAATAAATAAATCAAGAAGAAATATGAATGTACGAGTAAATGTCAAATAATAATTTGGTCAACTGGTTCTTATTTAAATTGATGGTGGTTGGTTATTCCCCTGTGAGAAATTACAGGCGATTGTACTTAAATTTTAATTGAATTTCAATTTTTTGATTACATCCAGAAAAATAAAATAAAGCATTGAAAATATTACGTGTTATTTTCAATATTTTTTTTTAATTTAATTGTAAGTTTTTCTACTAAAAGAACAATTTATGATACAGGTACAATTTCGAGATTTTTAAATTGGGTGAATTAAATTTTGTAAATTAAGCAAATAATGTAGTTTAGAATCTGAATTAACCTTAAATCAAAGGCATATGCAAAACTATGAAGAAGTGAATTAATTACGATGTAGAATTTTTTATTGAAAAATTGTTACTAGCAATTAAATATCAACATTGTTCTGTAAAAGTTCTGTAATAGTGTGTAGATTATAGAAATAATACTACGAAAAATTTATTGAATTTGTGTGGAAAGCCAAAATTTTATATTAGAAATGAATCTTTTCAATTAATTCTTCTTGCATTTTTCATATTTGACATCGGTTCGCTTTCCTTCGGTAAGTTGTACAAGACAAAAATTTTGATAGTTTCTAGATATTAATAATTTTGCTAGAATAAAATTTTTTACTCTTCCCTTCCGTTTTAATTTTAATTTTCAGTTTAGTTTTTGGAATTTTAATTTTCTATGAAAGCAAAAAACGAATAACGGTAAATATTTTCCTTCATAAAATATATTTATTTATCTTAATTCTTATATTTTTTAATGTTTTTTTTGCTAATTTTTGTTCTCATCCGGAAGGTATGAAATAATTATTAATTATATAATATAATATTTTTGGTATATTCACAAGCTAATATAGTACATATAAAACACTTATCATGTCTTCAAAATTACAATAAAATTGTTTGACTACATTATTCAGCAATTACAACTCATAAGCTGAATTGCGTATTAATATCGTATTGCTGTATAAGGAAAATTCAGTTTATGTGCTATAATTGCTGAATTATTAAGCGATACAATATTACTGGTATTTTGAAGCCTGCATAATTATGTAATTTGCAGAAGATTGTTTTCAACACAAAATGTATATTCACTTATTCAAAAAAATGTGTATATCTGTATGTACTTGATCTGAATTTATTTTATTTTAATATTCTTTTCCGCAATTGAAATCCATAATGTTGTAAATTTTTACTCATAAAAAAAATCCTATTTCCTTTTTCCTCTTGCATCATAACAACTAAATTTTCAAATTTTTTTTTAAACTTTCGGACAGTTTTCTTTCTTCGCTTTGGATACTTCAACAATAGAATAGAGGAAATAATATGATAAATAGGTATAAGTAACAGTAAAGGCGAAATAAAACGAGACATCACTATTTTTTATCATTATAATCCAAATTCTCGAATGTGAATTCAAAAAAAAATTCCCTAATTCTGACCCATGTAAAATTATTTATACAATTTTCCTGTGTTATACATTATGTATAAATTCATCTAATTTTGAATAATTCAGCTGAATTTAAATAAATCATTCTATATTATAATAAATGTTGCTATGTTTGTATATTAATAAATGATTGTATTACTGTAATTTTGCAACTTTCTCTAAAACAATTCGAACCAGTTTTTTCTCAAAAAAATTTTTGCCCTACGTTGTCGCTACAATTATTTATTCTTATTATAGTTTTATTCTTTTATTGTTTATAATCAAAAGGAAATTAAAAGTTCTTAATATACATAACATAATATATACATATATACAAACTTATTGTTAAAGAGGATTTTTTAAATTTTATTTTAAGAATCACTTTAGTGTGATTTGATACATTGAACGATTATCATTAAAATTATTTTATAGCTAGTAATATGAAGAATAATTTTTATTTTTATTTTTTTAATATAATTTTAATTTTTATAATACAAAATTTGAATATTTGTAATGCTAAAAAACCTAAGAGTAATTCAGATTTTTTATTTCCATCAAATAATGGCGATATACTATTTCCTAGCGATAGTTTTAAATTTCCAAAAGATGATAATGAATCTAATAAAATTGAAAACGGTATAACAGTTGAATATAATTTATGTAGACGAAGGCATCAAAATCACAATCATGAGATAGAATTAACATGTGGAAAATATCGAAATACTAAAAATGGTAAATGGTGGAAACCAAAACCTCAAAATAACCATACAGAATTAATACCAGATGGATATTCGGGTAAGATTTATGTTAATAATCTAGATATTCGGTTTAGGGAAGCAAAATTTTTTTGGCATAATATCAAATTCTAAGTACGCTACTGTACATATATGTATGTGTATATATTGTATATATTCTAAATATATATGTAAAAATTAATTCAATAACGAACTTTTGAACTTATACAGCTATTTTAAATATTTAATATAACAAAATTTTTGGTATACCGTATATTATATTTTGCAGATTTTTGATGTAATCACGTAGTTTTTATTAATAAATTTAAATTTGTATGTGTATATGTATTTGTATTACAGTTATAAGCAAAAACAATCTGTTTATGATTCGGAATGTAAATTTATCATTCATTTCAGTTCCGAATTTTTAATCTTCAATATTTCTAGTTAAGAGCTAATCATATTTCATTTTAATGTTTTTGTTGTCTACAAGATTTCGGTATGACTATATAAGCTATAATATTAAAAAATATTAAGAAAGGTCAATTTTTTATAATTTTTACGTTCATTAATTTTGTAGTTCAAAAGTAATGTTTTGTTAGCAAAGCTTATTTATTCATGTATAGAGAGTTTGTAAACATAATATACGTGTATATTATGAGGGAGGGGGGTATTACAAGTGTAATATAATTAACAATTAGACTAAACTATAAAGTAAACTTTGCGATTGTCTTTATTACGATCTAGTATCTATACTTATACACCTAATCTAATCAACTACTATATTAGTTATTGGTAACAGCTAGTTGTTTTATTGTATATAGTAAATCGCATGTTTCAGTGCATCCTGTTTACTTTAAAAATTTTATTAAAACTTAAATTTAAAAATTCAATTAAATTTTATAAAAACAAAATATTAATTTATCTTACAGGTTTTATTCCTAACCATTGGCAGGATGGTGTGAATGCTTACAAGCAAAACGGTGAACGTGAAAGAAGAAAAAGTGAAAGAAGTAATTTAATAATTTAAATTTGAAATTAAACTACAAATTTCAATGTTTGTATTGTTTTTAAAGGATATAAGGAGTATATAGAAAGTGTTTTTGGCCGTGGGAATTATGATAAGAATAAAATTTTAACTATAGAACAATTGAATGGCAGAGAAATAGCTGATCCTGGCCAATTTCCTCATGTTGTAAGTTAAAAAACAATATTTTAATATATAGATTCAAACAATAGTTTTGCGCTGTTTCTTTTTAATTTTAAGGCTGCAATCGGCACCAGACAAGATGATAATGAAAGAATTTGGAGTTGTACAGGAAGTCTTCTATCGGAGTAAGTAAAAACTTGTGGATTTTTATGCTAAATTAATAATTAAATATTTTTAAAAGAAGACTAACTTAGATATTTTATTTTGTACAGATATTTTGTAGTAACTGCAGCGCATTGTACTGATATTGGGGGGTAAGGCTTTATATTGTGTAGAAAAATTGAGAAGAAATTGTTAAAATTAAAATTAATGGAAAATCAATTTCTTTGTTTTAGGGAAGCGCCAAATTTTGTTAAACTGGGTGATGTAAATTTAAATATAAGAGAAGGTGTTGTTGCAACTCAAAGATTTCGTATTGATAAAATTATAATTCATCCAAATTATAATGCTGATTTAAATTATCATGATATCGCTCTTATTAAATTATCTAAGCCAGCTGTGTAAGATTCCATTCATATATTGGAAAACCTTTAGCCATTTAATTAATTTTATTGATTTTGATTACAGTTTTACGATTTATGTACATCCTATTAGAATGTGGCCACAACGAGATATACCATATACAATGGCATTTGCAATGGGTTATGGTGCTACAACATTTGGTAGAATACCAACTGGTGTCTTAAGTTTTTTAAATTTTACATTAATTGGAAATAAAGAATGTAATGAATCATTAGCACATATCGAAGAAACACCATATGGTATAGTTGATAGTCAAATATGTGCTATAAATACTCAAACATCTGCTGATATATGTCAAGGAGATTCAGGTGGACCATTACAATTACATTTACCGGGTTTGGAACGTCCAAATTATTTTTTAATTGGTGTAACATCATTTGGTTTGATATGTGGTAGTAGATCACCAAGTGTTTATACTAGAGTTCATTCATATTTAGAATGGATAGAAGATACAATTTGGCCAGATTAAATCATGGCCTAGTTTGCATTAAACAAATTATATATTAATAATTAGTAAATAATAATTATGTTAAGAGACTGAACAAAAATAAAGTAATAATAAAATTATTCATAAGTTTAAGAAGTTTTGTAAATAAATTTTTCTATAACTACTCAATCAAATTTGTGCCGATTAATTATTTTTTGGGTCTACATTTGAAATTTTAATTTAATTAAAAAATTCGAAAACAAACGAAATACTCATAAAAATAATATTAATTACAATTACAACAGTTCCTTTCTTTTCTATATGGTAGCATGCAGAACACGGTGATCACCATAATTTGAAAATTTTAATAATGTAAAATTTTAAATTGTGTTGCTCAATGACGTCAATAACACACAAATTAATGGTTAATTGTTTAAATAAAAATGTGTCAATGTGTTGTTTTGCTTTTAATAATTTTTACAATCTAGCTAATCAGCTATAGTTTTTAAAGCACAAAATAAAAACAAAATAATAGCGAAATAATTTACATATTAAATGAAGTATAACTACCTGGGAAAATAACCCGATTGTGGTGAGCTACTCGTATACTCTCAATAAAAAAATTTTGAAAATAATCCTTTAAAATTTTTTTTTATAATCTATTCCTTTCTACAGTCTGATTTCCGAGTGACGTGCAAACAGCACTATAAAACAAGAAATTTGCAATTTAAGTCATTTTACTTTATTGTGTACTTAAAAAAATTTTGATTATAACATTATAGAATTTGATTATAACATTGTAGAATATTTTAATGTTATATAACAAAATTTACAAACAAAATAAAATATGAGATGAAGAGATCGAGTGAATCATTTTACTCCATATTTTATTTATTAAGAATTAATAATGTTAAAAGCTTATATAACAGATGAACAATTCTTAAATTTATTTCGATTGAGTATATCAATGAGTAAACACTGTATTAAATGTGCGTTATATATAAAGTGTTATATTTGTTTTTAGTAAAATTTATTTGAAATTGGACTTTATTTTATTAAATCGGGCCTTTTCAAATTTTCAAATTATTTTATAGAATTTATTGAAGCACTATGAAATAATTTTTTGACCTTATAAATTGTTCCTATGCATACATTCATTAGAAGTTGTAAAACTCAAGGTATTCAAACAAAGAACAGTCGAACACGGTTATTTGTAACACGCATATAAACAAGACTTCTTTATACATTGCATTTTTGACTCATACATATGTAATTTTTTTAATCAAATAGAAAATTTTGAAAAAAAAAATTGCTCAATACAGATAAATTACGTACACAAAAAATGCTGCACGAATGGGTGTGAATATAAGCGTGTTTGACTGTACGCAATTTTTACATTAAAACAGAAACTAAGCAGAAAATGCAATAATATAACACTTCTATATTTAAATTAACATACGATACACTATATTACATTATTTTACATCGAGAAAAATGTTGTTGAGTACTTAACATAAATTTTATGAAAGCTATAAATTGCATCTACTTATTTTACATAATGTAAGTTATATTTATTTCATTTAAGATTAATTATAATTAATTCTAAAACTATTTTCCAAGTTAATTTAATATTACTCGTACGCTTTAATAAATAAAGCACATAAAGTTTATTAAAACTAATTTAACCAAACAGCATCCTCAATCCAGTCTAGAAATGCTGAAACTCGTGTATAAACACTAGGAAGTGGACCACCACAACCAAGTCCATACGATGTGATACCAATTAATACATATTCAATATGTTTACTTCCTTCCATATTTAATTGTAAAGGCCCACCAGAATCACCCTAATTTGCAAAAAAATTAGGTTTATTTATTAGTACAAGTATAAAGATCTCAAATATAATTAATTGTTAAGCAGTTTATTTTAAAAAAGAACTTACTTGACAAGTGTCTCGATTTGCTATTGGGTCAATAGCACAAATTTGACTATTCAAAATTCCATATTTAGTTTCATTAATTTTTGGCATACTATTATCACATTCGGTATTCGATACTAATGTTAAATTTAAATGTGTTAATATATTTGTTTTGGCTTTACCAAATTTTGTTGCTCCATAACCCATTGCGAAAACTTTTTTATATGGAACGGTATTCTGTTCCCAAAGTCGAATCGGATAAACAAACTCTGTAAACCTATATAAATAGAGAATTTTATTTCTAATTTCAATTAATGATTTCAATAATTTCAAATTACAAAGCACGGCTTGACAATTTAATGAGGGCAATATCATTATAATACGAAGATTTTGTGTATTTTGGATGCTTATAAATATCTTTAATTGTAAGACTTTGTGGCTCCACAGTTCTTTCATTCACATTTAAATTGATAGCACCAATTTTTACATAAAATGGTTTTTGTCCATTAAGTTCGGTACAATGGGCTGCAGTTATTACAAAATACCTAAAATTGAATACATATATGTATATAATTCTTTTTAATTCACTCATATAATATAACAATTTGAACTTACTCGTCAATTAAACTTCCTCCACATTGCCATTCTACAGAATTTGTTGTTGTTTTAAAGCCAATTGCAGCCATATGCGGATATTGACCAGGCTCCGCAACATCTCGACCGTCAAATTCATCAGAAGATATTTTGTGTGAAATATCATTGCTATGGTCGAAAATTTTTTTCATATATTCTTCGTACTCTAAAGGATAATAAAAAATTTAAAAAAATTGAAATTATATTTATGTGGCATAATACTTCTCTGACTAATTCGTTTCTTTGAAGAGTTGATTCGAGATTTTGTTGTGGGGACCCGATTATAACTTTTTGTAGAAGATCTTTCAACATGTTTATTTCTTGATAGTGTTGTAGGAGTAGTTATGAAACTAGACAGATGTCCAAAACTTCTAGAAATGTTTTTGGAGTCATAGTTTCTTATCAGTTCGGTAGTATATAATGATGATGTTTGACGATCATAATTATTTAAAGTGCTCTTTGTTTTAGAATCTTCATATTCCAAATTTCTAGTTGTGTTTAAATTATTAGAAGGTCTCGAAGTCTTGCTTGTATGTTTTGTACTTGATTTTCTTGTAGTAGTTGTTGTTAATCTTTTGTTGCTGTTATTTTTTGTTGTAATTTTTTGATGTTTTGTCGTAGATCTGTAGTTTTCCTCGGAATTTTCATCTGAGTAAATGTTGTGATTTCCCAAGTAACTACGATCAATTTGACTTCCATAATTCTCTTGATTAGATCGAGTGCTTTTATTCAAAAAATTTGAATTTCGATTATTAAATGGTTCGAATTCATTCTTATTTTGTTTTGTTTTCGTTGAATCCTCATTTAAAAATGTTTCATAATAGCCACCTTCGGATGGTTGAGAGTATTCAAATACTCCAATTCGGCTATTGCTGTTGGTATTAATATTTGAAGTTGTCTCTTTGATATCATTGTAATAATTTCGAGATTTTTCTGCATTAACATTCGGGTGAGAAGAAGTTTTCAAATAATTTAAAGTTGTACTATATTCATTATGATAGTGACTTCGAATATTTCTATGGAAATTATTAAAATCACTGTTATAATTCCGAATATTTCCTGTATTAATTGCATGCACATTTCTTGTATTTGAATGTTGTGTTTGAGCTTTCACGATTATTATAATTCTAATTGCTGTTAGTAGCGTTATTAATATTAAATTCTGCATATTATTAATAAAACAATTAATTTGCATTAAAACTTTTTTGTTTTTGTAATATTGTTTTTATATTCAGATTAAAATCTATTAAGAGAATTGTCATTTATAATTATTTCTAACTATTGCGCGTTCTAAACTTAACTGAACTTAAGTGTGCTATTACAGAATGTTTATATATTATACGTGAGAATTATCTTTTGCAATGCAATGCATATTTTTTATTAAATTAAATCGAGAAATTTTAGTTAAAATAGTTATGTATGTGAATGTATGTAAAAATTTAAAAATATGTTTTTATTGTGTAGGCCGGAAAGTCCAAAATATTCCGAGAGTTTACTTATATCATACATATAGCTTTTATAAGAGTTACTTAAATATGCAATTAATGAGTAATATGGGAAAGAAAAATGTTGAAACGCTAATATTACATAATGTAGAAACGCGATTATAAATTACTAGTCAAATAAATTATTAAATATTGGAATGATTAATACCCCAGACTGAAAACATTTAATTAAGGATGGCTAAATCTTATATTTGTGGTTATTGATATTCAATTAAATTGATTGAAGTAATGAAATATTTAAACAACATTTAATTAAAAGCTTGAAAAGCATTTTGTAAAAAATTCTTAAGTTCATATCAAATAATTACGCAAACTGGTCATATTTCATTTTCATATAACACTTAGGTATTAGTTAGAAATTTTAGTTAATTTGTTAGAGAGTGCGTTACGGCAAAGACATTAGAATATTTATCTTTTTACAATAGTTACTCGTATATTCATTGATTTTTTATTACGGAGGTTCAACTTTTAACATTTTAAGAAATTAATTTTAAAACTGTGTTACAATATTAAGTTTAATATCGGAAAATACATATTACGTATATTATGTTTCTGATTTTTAGACTGATATTAATGTGTTAGTTAGATAAATTTTTTAAAAAAGGTTTTTATAAAAACTATAATTAAAGTTAATATTAAAATTGCATCTATTCAAATGTGATATACTAGGATTATTGAAAATTATCATTAAGTAACAATGTTACACCCATATTATGCTTGTTCAAATATTATTTGAAGTTTTTCTATAAAACAGGAGTCAATAAATCTACATGTAAGTGAAATGCTTTAGTACCATCAAATGCCTAAAATATATTTTGGTCTGAAAATCAAGTTGTGATTTTAATCTTTTAATTATACTTTTAGTTCCTTAATTGTGTAGGTTTATGTACACACATATAAGGTTGACTTATATTATAATTAAAAAAAAATGTGCATAATATGAGAGTACATAAATAATTATATTTAAAGCACAAAAATGTAATACCATATTATATAACAGTTTTTATATAACATACTTTGTTTTGATTGGGATTTTAGATATGTAAAAGAAATTTTTACTTTAATATCGAATGAACTAAATTTAAATTGAAGTGGTAAGGCAAATCAATCACTAAATTCCAACAGTGATTACACACCATCACCACTTAAAGAACAATTATAAAGACCAATGATTCAATTCAATAATCATTCATAAAAAACTATTAATAATTTAGAAGTGAAAAAAAAATTGTAGGTTCTTAAGCTCAGACAATAATGTTTTTTTTATTCCTTATATTGAAATTTGTATATTGCAATTTACCAATTCAGTTACCTTATAACACGGTATGGGTGTAATTTGTGTATTCAATTTTTAAAAATGTATGGGTTTTGATGAACAATAGTACATACCTCAAATGAGGTAATTATTTTATTTTGTTATCCTTTTCCATCAAAAGATCAATAAATTTTCTTTTTTTTAACTTGAACTATTGATCAAAAATTCACTTTTTGTATATCATGGGAACTGGAAGCCGGACGGATATGATTAAGAAAAAAATATTTCAATAGATTTTGCCAAAGAACGTAAATAGAACAACAAAAAAGTTTGAAAAGTACCTACAACTTTTCACCCCCGGCCATATGCTGCTATTTTTTGTGCCGTTTTTTGAATTTTGATTGTCGTTTAATTTTCGAATTGATAGTTGTGGTTCCCAAGGTATCAAAACTTCTTTAGAATAATTTTGCTATATTAACATTTAAATTTTTACTTTAATCCCGATTATCACCGCTAAAAATATTTATTTAACAATTTTTTCAACATTTTTATTGCTAGTTGTCTGTGGTGACTTGCCTGTCTTGTCCACTATTTTAAAAGATTATTTTGTTTTTTATGAAAATATTTGAGTATCATATTGTTTTGCCAATACACTACTCTTTTCTCAATTATTTTTTTTCTTATTAAATTTTTTTAAAAACCTGTTGAATTTCTCATTTGTTTTTGTCTTATTTTCAAGTTGTCTCAATTCTTTATGTCTCTCTTTTAAAATTTCATATTTCATGCCTGATAATATTAATATTGATACTTGTTATTATAGAAAGTTTTGAATTAGATTTTCACACTTTATTAGCTAAAAATGTAATACTGATACTTTGTATACGAAATAAAATTTTGGTTAAAAGCTTAGTATTAATAAAAGAAATCATTAATCCAAATGCTTAGTTTAATGTTAATTTTCTAACTGAGGACATATAGCTCACTTTTCGTATAATTTTATAGAATAAATGATTGCCAAAATATTTAAATATAAAAATAAATGTTAATCATAAAGAAAAAATTTAATGTGTTCAAAATGAATAATAATTTCCTAATTTTGTGCTTAATAATATGTTTAACTAATGTAGTGGAAATATTAAGTAGCGGCAGTACTACTAAAAAGCCAGGTGATGGTAAACTTCATTTTCGTATAGCAAAATCAGCTGAAACCACACAACCATTAGATGGTAAAATTCGTGTTCGTCTAAAAGTAAATCATAACGAACCTGCTGCACATTCTGGTTCGCATTCGAATAATCAACATCATAACCCGTCCAATCAACATCACACAACACATCATCCGCAACATCAGACGACACATCATCCACAACATCAGACAACACATCATCCGGAACATCCGACAACACATCATCCACAACATCAAACGACACGCCATCCACAACATCAAACAACACATCATCCGCAGCATCAGACGGCCCATCACCCACAACATCAAACAACACGTCATCCGCAACATCAAACCACTCATCAACCGGCTCACGATGAAAAACCGGCTCAATTTCATATAAAAGGTCATGTTAATTTGTCAACAAGAAATGCCGACCCGAACCCGAAATCTAATAATAACAATCAGAAAGATAATAAAGTTCACTTCAAAAGAAATACTCATACAAATGATCGTAATAGCCCTAAAGTTTTCCAAAAAAAAGATAATAAAAAGAATTCTTCTAATAATCAATCAAATCATAAGCCAGTCAAAGTAAAAGTACATATCAAAGTTGTTCATAATAAGAAAACAATTCCACCTCCACCGAAAAAAGCTCATTGGAAACCAAAACCACAAAAACACGATGCAAAACCATCTTCTAAATTTTCAGGTGCGTACAATTAAAATAACATTCACAAATCTCATAAAGCAAATTATTAAAGTTAATTAGAAATATTAAAAATTGGGGGACAAATTTGTGGGATACTTGTATTTTTCAATTATTTTAATTCAAATTTAAAGTGAGTGAGTGAGGGACTTTTTGTGCTGTTTTTTAATAGGTACTTGGCCATAAAAATTAGTACTTGTTACAGGATTGCGGCGACATTACAATGTTTTAAACGAATATTTCGATAAGAAAAATTCGGCATAAATAATGTTATATTTGAATTCATACTTTATATTACAGGAAGGCTACATAATATGTATAACATAGAACACTATATACCCATTTACATTAGCTCTGTTTTTAAGACAAACATACATACATACATATACATATTAACTTGAACTAGTTAATTAACTTCCAATAGGTGGCGTATAGGATTGATAATGTTGGAAATTTGAAAACTTACGTTATCTACTAAATTTTATTTGGAAATAAAAAATTAAATAATTTCTGACCATTCACTCGTTATGTAGAATTTTGATTGTTTTTTGAACAATTTTTTTTACGAAAGGTTAAAACTCAATGATTTTTTGCCTAATAAAAAATTTTAAAGGTTAAATAACCTTTTTTTTGTATAGAATAATCGAAGATTCTATGTTTTTATTGTTGTTATTATTATTATTAATCATTCAAAATAAAAATATTTGTTATGAAAATATTAAAGAACCCTACATTTTGAATGTACCAGTACTTAAATTATTTTCATTCAAAAATTCAGTTTATCAAAATGTTTAAATTTCACAGAAGAATAATATTAAATGTGACGTATGTAGACACAAAACTTGTTTGAACTAACAACAATTTTATGAAAATATTGATTGATATTAAATAATTAATTTTTTGTTTATAATGTCACAAAATACAAAATGTCAAATGAAAATTATGTACTTACATAAATGTATGTGTACAATCGATTCAATATCATAATTGACTAATACGCATATTAATTTGAATACAAATTACAAAATAATTATTGGAAAAATGTTCATAAGTAATAAAACAACAGATTTAATGAGGTAGACTAGTTGCAAATGCATAGGTATATAATATGTTTATTATTTTTATAGATAATAAATACACATGCTCTGACGAATTTTGCAAGAAAAATGATCATTTAAAGTGACTAAAACCATTTAACAATAAACAATTACTATTTCGATCGAAAACTTTAAGGGTAATAGGAAAAATTATTAATATTTCCATAAAATAAACCGACATCTGAAGAAAAAGAAATATAACAGAATTTTGTGGTTTGTTTCGCCTTAATTATCCGTTGCATTACATATAATAAGGAAGGTCTTGTAATCATACTAAATTTTCATATTACGAAATTTTAACAGAAATTTTCAATTTAATTAGAGAAGGTTATAAACAAATTAAAACCTGCGCACTTGTATATGTAAATGCTAGTTTAAAATTTTTCACACATTATTTTACAGAATTTATGCCACTCTTATGCTACGATATACAAAGAATATACAATGTGGTTGATTACGTATTCATACTCATCATGTATTTGATTTGTTTAGTCTTTAAACACAGGCGTTCACGAAAATGCAAAGTTTTTGATGTTTATATTCTACTTTTATCGTACTAAACTTTTCGGTAAACAGAATTATTTGCTTATTATTCAATAGTTCTTAAAAAATATCTGCCATTTCTAACTTTTTTTTTCAAATATTCATAAAATATTCTTTTACTTATGTAAATTATCTGCATGACATTTATGTTCGCGTGTATTATGACCTTCGTACATACAAACATACATATTAGGTATTTGTTATTATATTTTTCGACTGCTTGAGGGAGAATTTACGGAATTAATAATAGCATTTATGAATAATAATATTCTATTGCAAAATAATATTTTGATCAATATGATCCGCACGTGTTAGTGTTTTTAAGATAAGACGTTTTTACTTTTAAATACAAGACGTTTTAAAGGCGGGGGGTATGATAAAAAGAAATTAAGAGCTCTAGCTCGCTAGGTCATCTGAGAACTATATTATCAGGGTTTAAAAATTTTGACTACAAAAAAAACAAACTTTAACTTAAAGGTATTTAATAAATTAACCAAATGGCTTCGCTGAGTATGAATCCGTTGAATTAATATAGTCGTTCTTTCAGTCTCGAATATACATATGCATATATACATATATGTACATGCTTTTAACAATGCATTAACACAACGAATTTGAATTTTTCTATTTGTTAAGGATGGAAACCAAAAGAATTTGGTAATACTACCGATGTTATTGATGAAAATGGTGATGTAGCAAACCGAACAAGTGAATTAAGTGAGTAAAATAATTATTGAATTTCTTTCCAAATTTTAAAATTTTACTTACATATTTTTATAAGAATTCGGTGAATATATGGAAGAGATATTTGGTGAGGAAGGTTTTCGTGATAATGTTTTATTAACACCAGAAGAATTAAATGGTCGTACATTAGCTGATCCTGGTGAATATCCTCATATGGCTGCTATAGGAGTTATAAGAGATTATGAGGATGTTATTGATTGGAAATGTGGTGGTAGCTTGATTTCAAGGTGAATTAATTGTTTTATTTTTATTTAATTAATTATAAAAAAAAAAAAAATTTATTTTAAATTATAATATTAAATTTTTAGACAGTATGTTCTTACAGCGGCACATTGTTGTGATTTTGGAGGGTAAGTTTAAATTTAATTAATTATTCGAAATTTTATGATTTTATTTAATTCAATTCAGAGAACATCCAACTCATGTTGAATTAGGTGCTATTGATTTAAGAAAAAAATCAGGAATGGATGAAGAAGGATCCATGATAGAAAAAATTGATGAAGTTATAATTCATCCGTATTATAGAGATGAATCATATTATTATGATATTGGATTATTAAAATTAGTAGAAACTATAAGGTATATATAAACGAACTTTTAAAAAGATTTCAAGTAAAAATTTACGAAATAAAAAACTGAAAATGAATTTGCTTTTAAATGGAATATAGATTTTCTTTTAAAATTCGACCAGTTCATTTATGGCCATTGGAAAATATACCATATCAATATGCTTTTGCATGCGGCTATGGAGCCACAACTTTTGGAAAAGTTTTCACAAATGTTCTTACTGAAATGAATTTAGACTTAATTGGTAATGAAGATTGCAATAAAGAATTACCACTTTTAGAAGAAACTCCTTTCGGTGTTCTGGATAATCAAATTTGTGCTAAAGATTTAGATGGAATAGTAGATACTTGCCAAGTAAGTAAATGTAAACTACTTACAGAAATTATATTTTTTGGGTATGTAAATACATATGTACAGGTAGGCGTTCCAAATGTTCGGTGTAGAAATCCAAACGATTAACGCGTATAATTTGAAAAATGCAAATTTATTATTAAATTTGAACTTGAAATTTGTGTTTTTTAATGTTATTATTAATCCTAATGTTTAATACATATTTTAAAATCTTTAACTAGAAACAGCAATTACATGCTTATTCACTAAGTTAACGAAATTTATATGCCTCTGCTTCAATTGAGATTTTTTTCTATTTTTCATCATTTGTTCTTCTTTTACACGCAGTTCAAGATAATCAAAATAGGACTCATATTATATCAGAATGTGTTGACTTAGTGTATTCCAAAATCAATTTAAATATTTTAACCAAATCTTTAATTCATTTTAAATTAATTAATATTTTTTTTACTTATATAGGGTGATTCTGGTGGACCATTACAATTGAATTTACCAGGTAGAAGACGGCCACGTTTTTCATTAGTTGGAATAATTTCATATGGTGTTTTTTGTGGCAGTTCATATCCAGGAGTTTATACAAGAGTTTTTTCATATTTATCTTGGATTGAAAGTATTGTATGGCCTCGAACTTATAGTTACTTTAATCCAGATTTTGTTTTCCAAGATCAATCTTAACAAAATTTATGCATTCATAATATGTGAAAAATATAAAAAAAATATTTTATTTGTAAATACATATGTATGTATGATTTATTCTAAGATTTCTAATTTTAATACAATTGAATGTGAAGCTAGTTTCATTTTTAAATTTAATTTTTTACATAATCCTTTGAGTAAGTAGTAAAATATCTACTGTAATATATTATGATTCAACTTAATATCGCTTAAAAAAGTTATATAATTAAGAACTTAAAATAACACATTTTATGTAAATATTATTTGTTGATGTGAATGTGTTGGTGTTTGCATGAATATAGCCACAATTTAAGTACTACATGCACCTGTTTAGTTAAGTTGATCTCATTTTGTTCTAGGAACTTTTAAAGGAAGGTAATAATATTTATTACAATTCCTAATTATAATAGCCGGTTACCCAAATGATATTCAAAATAATACTGTACATACATACATACGGTATGTTTGCAAAAATGTTTTGCATTTGATTCTTGTATGTAGATAATGCCCTTCATACCTGCCATAAGAATAAAAATAATCATTCGTGAAAGTGTCATAAAAATAACAATAACAAGTACATACATAAGCAATGTTTTATGTGTACCTTGTGGCAAGTGCAAAATAAATATTTTTAACTCTAAATGCATTTTTATTTTAATTCACTTCCGCAATTTCAAGAATTTTACAAAAAAAAAGGAAAATACCTAAGTGGCTATAAAATAATAAACTTAATATTTCTAAGACCAGATGATGCCCTTAAATTTTATTCATAATGAATGAAATATTTCAGTTACTATTATTTACTCGAAGACATGATACATGCCAAAATAAGAAAAATGATTTGCTTCAGTGTATTTTTAGTTTTAAATGTCATATCATCAAGTAAGATTTTAGCAATGGAGAATACTGCAGAAAATACAGAAATTGAACAAGAAAATTCAGTGATAAATAATAGACAATTATATCAAACATATACATCAACTAAATTTACAATACCAAAACGGCAAGCTATAATTTCAACCGGACAAATATTTACACCAGATGCTTTTCCAAACTATCATGTACCAAGGAATCAACAGATTCAACAATATCCATTTTTTAAGCCAACTAAAACTACACAAACTCAAAAATTTAATATTCAAAACTCAAGTAATACAGGAGGAAAATTTGTTTTTCCTGATCAGCTTGAGACATCATATACTGTAAAGCAGACAAGAAATTCACAACGACAACAACGAAAACTTCAGCAGCAATATAATAGAGATGCTATCAAACCAAATTTTGATAAACCATTGGGTTCGGCCTGTCAAAGAAGAGTCGATAACAAAAATGGTTTTTGTTTATTTGCTCATCAATGTTTACATATTGTTCGAGAGTTTCGAGTTCATGGCATTCAATTAGATATATGTTCATATCAAGGAAGTGTTCCGATTATATGCTGTCCACGTGAAAATAAATTTATTAATGAAAACAATAACGAAACACAACGGATTAGTGCAAAAAGTTAGTTATTTAATGAAAAGTTATTATGAGTTACATACATAGTTTATATATAATTTAATTTTAAAAAATTATTACTTTATGTACGTATTTTGTACTTATATCGATTGTAGAATGTGCAGAATATAATAATTTTGGAATGGAACTATTAAAACCTTCTGAACGAGCAAATCATTTAATTAAAAAGTGTGAATTTAGTGTACCACTAATTGTCGGAGGAGAAGAAACCCTTCTTGGTGAATATCCGCATATGGTATTAACATTTTTATTTACAAAAAGAAATATCGGACTAATCAAGTAAATTTAATTTTAAGGCTGCCATAGGCTGGATAAAAGAACAAGGGAGTATAAGTTGGGCTTGCGGCGGTAGTCTTATAAGTGAAATTTTTGTACTGACTGCTGCTCATTGCACTTCTTTAGGTGGGTACGTAATTTTAACTTATTAAAATTTTGTTAAAGCTGTTTATTATTTTTCTTCTTCTACAATTATTTCTTATTGAATAGTACATATTTATTTTAATTTACATTTTAATTAAACAAATAATTACCTTATTTTAATTTACATTTTAGAAAATCGCCAAATTTAGTTAAGCTGGGTGCACATGGAATCGATTCCTCAGTTGAGGATGTGAACATTCAAATATTAAAAGTTTCTGAAATAATCTCATATCCAAAATATAAGAAAGAAGAATATTATTATGATATTGCATTGATTAAATTAAATAAAAATGTTTTATTTTCTAAATACGTAAGACCAGCTTGTTTATGGTTTCGATCTAAAATTGATGATGTTGAAATTGTAACAGCAACTGGTTGGGGTAGAACACGATACTTGGGTCCAAGATCAGATAAACTTTTAAAAGTTGATTTGAAAATGATTGATAGAAACAAATGTAATGAATTATATAAAAGGGAAATTAAATTACATAGAGGCATTACCGAAAGTCAATTCTGCGCTGGATATCTCGAAGGTGGAAAAGATACATGCCAGGTAATGCAATGAAATAAAAATAAAAATTGTAAAATAGTAAATAACTTTATTAAGTAATTCCAATTTAAAAATATTTACTTTTTTCTTCTTTTAGGGAGATTCTGGTGGACCAATTAATGTTCATATGGGGAAATATAATTGCATTAATTATATTATTGGAATAACATCATTTGGGAAATTTTGTGCAGCACCAAATTCACCAGGTGTTTATACTAAAATTAATTCATATCTTGATTGGATTGAAAAAATAGTCTTCAAATAACAAAATATAAATTATTTACATCTTTATATTATTTAACATTCAGTTTTCAATAATGACGAAATTTAGTATTGCAATAAAATTGAAATTTACTTTAATTTACTGAAACCTAGCAAAAGTATATACTAAATAATATAATTGAAATTAGAGCCGTAAAAATTATTATTAAATTCAAAATAAAACACATAATTTTATTTTCATAAACTTAACCTAAATATATTATTTATTTCTGTAAAAAAAATTTAAATGGCAATTACAAAGTGTATATTCCTAATATTATATTAATCAATTATCGAATACAAATTTAATTTATAAATGTTTCAAGTTTTCCTTTAAAAAAACTTTTTAAGAAATAAAAACATATTGAATAGTATTTTTCAAAATAAATTTTGTAAGGATTTGTTCATTTTCCATTATGCATGTGTAACATATTTCGAAAATATTCTGAAAATTTGTTTATGAACTTTCTTATATACAAATGAAAATCGTTTCATGTTTTCTTTTTAAATCAGAACTTATGAAGTACATAAAGTAGTTTTTATACAATAATCAATAATTTTTATAATTATTAAATAATTTTATATTTTTAAAGTTCTTATATTGAAAGTTTTATATTTAATAAATTCTTATACTTAAACTTTGTTGTTTTTTAATTCTAAGGCACTTACTATTTCTAAAATTTCTTTCAAATGTTTAAGAAAACTTTCTTATAAAATTAAAATTTATTCTGGTAGAGTAAAGTAAACAAACAAATGTAAGTAAAATGATTTTTTATTTTGTTTCAAATCTTTAATATAAACTAATATTTTTATGATTATTACTAATTATTATTGATAATCTTATAATAAGAACTGGAAATGTGTGTCATTAAATTGAATTAGAAAAAAATATACATTCTTATATTTGTTTATAAAATATTAAGACAAAAATAATTATTCCTTTAATATGCATTAAAATATTTTAGAAAAATGATTTTTCTAAATTGTTTTTTTACGTATCTGTATTACTTACTTAATTAGTATAAAACTTTCAAAAAAAATTTTTATACATTTTATATTTTTATTGCACTCGCAATAAATTTTATTTTTATTTTATTAATTCCTAATATAAGAATTTATTTTATTGTACTCTTATAATTATTTTACATACAACTGAAAAACTACAATTGATTTATAAATTAAAATTATAAAATATCAAATTTAATGATAGAGGTTTTAATTTAAAAGGTAATTATAAAAATTAAGAAATTTTTCTGAAATGGTTTATATAATGTGGGAAGTATTTATTAAAAAGTAGAGTATCAACCATAAATATGAATAATAATATTCATATTTTACTAAAATGAACAAATATTTCAAGTATAATTAATAAGTAATAACATTTCTATTTAAATTTTTTTAAAGTAAATCACGAAATTTGAAATTACTTATAAAAAAAATTTGATAAAATTTCTTTTTTTAAAAATTTTCATACAATGACAAAATTGAAATATTTTCATTTATAATGTAATATACCCAAAAATTTTTGCAAACTTTTCATTTAAAATTAAAATTTAATCACAAATGACCTATCAAAAATTAAAATTTTTAATACTTTAAATATGTAAAAATTTTTAACATGAAAACTTTAATTAAGTTTTTGCTTTTTTTAATGTTTAACATTTTTTTACGCAATTATACATATGTATATGACACATATACATATGTATACAATATACAAAATTAATAAAATGAAATACCAAAAATACGAGTATTACTAAATACCAAAAAGAAATATCAAATTTTACAAAAATCCAGTTGTTTTTCAAATAATATGTGCTTATACAAATATTTTGTTCTTTGATGAATTTAGTGAGGTTAAATTTTTTTTTAAATATAATTAAATTTGTTTTCCTTATAAGAAAAAAGGTGACAAAATTAAAAATTTTCAGTTAATTTCATTTAACCCTTTTATTATTGTTAAAAAGTACATAAAAATTTGTGCTAATGTTTTTGGTCATAAACAACATGAAAACTACATGCGGATAATACAAAATATTATTAATATATTTTGTTTACCGTTCTTTATCTGAAATAACAGGAAAACGCCGTTAAAACAAAGTTTCAATAATACAGAACACAGGAAGACTGGAAGACAAACTTTAATTACATCAATTTTTTTAATTAAATAGAATCGATAAATTTTTTTTTAAAAAAAAGAAAAAAAAATTTTCAAATGAAAATGTTTCACATATTCTTAAATTTGTATCATGTTTTTAACAGGATTTATATTATAAATTTATATCTCATGTGTAGAATTAAGAATCGATCATTTATTGGTTTCCAACAAAACAAACATTTTTTTTCGATAAAGAAATAGCACAAAATTAAATATTTAAAAAAAAATACGCAAAATAAATGTAATATGTAATTTATATGTATGTACATATATATACATAGATATAACATAATTCAATAATAAAAGACAAATTTCCTATTAAAACTGGCTTCAACAATATTGCAAAGTAATTATATACTTTAATAACTAAATTTCAACCTAAATTATGAATACTTCATATTATATGAAATGGCAGAATATATTATATAAACATATTGCTTTAAACTTATGAAATATAAATTGAAGTTTCTTTAACTTAAAATTATAGTCAAAAGAAAATTCTTAAAATAAATGTAGCAAGATAATTCTCTAATCCAAAACAAAAAAAAAAGTTTCAACTTTCCTAAAAGTATTAAATTTTTATAAGTATGAAAAATAATTACAATATAACAGTAAATAAATACCTAAATTATATGGTGGTAAACAGAAAATATCCAATTTGTATTTATTTTTCTTGTAATTTCCTTAACTCGTCCAAGTATACATTCCACTCAGAATTTAAAGGATTTCGTGAAATTTCACCGGCGATGCAATTATATGCATGTTTGACAATTTCAAGAGCCATTCTATCATTAGGCAAAGGTAATGTTAAGGTTACGCCACCGTTGGGGACAGCTTTCAATGTTACACCTAAACCAAAAGGATGTTGCATTGGGTATTCCATTTTCACGGGATTATATGGAGAATTATTATCATCTGAATTAGATGGAGATGATGATGATAGCGGTGGAGATAGTATACTTGATTCAGTTTTAATTTTGAAAATTTTTCCCGGTCGAGGTCCCATTTCCAAGAGTTGTGCTATACGAGTTGAAATTTACAAATACAAATTGTACTTTATTGTAAAATTAAAACAATTTTTAATAAATTTTTACCTCGTTCTGCAGTGCGTTTTGCGTTTACGTTCTTTTGTTCCTCAGCGGATTTATCTCGTTTTGGGCAACTACAAACTTTAATATTTACAACCTTTTTGGATAAAATTAAACCCCTACAAAAATAAATTATGTCAGATTCATATTATTAACTTTTCTTCAAGAAATGTTACGTTAAAATATTTACAAGAACAGAAAATATCGAAAATTCAAACAATAAATTGAAAAAAAATCTTATTTTAATTTAAAAATCAGGGACTCAAAAAATCAAGTAGAGTTTATTTAATCAAATTTATAGAAACTTTTTATTCCTTCGAAAGTTCTTACCTCACATTTTCCAAATAAAATAAAACAGCTGTCTGTTTTCTACCAACGCACGAATTCTGGCATACAAATTTTAAAGCTATTGACTGTTTTGCCATATTTTTATCATTTGGGACGACACTACTCAATGGTATCAAAACAGAAAGGCGATCTTTAATATTTTTACCATTTTCATTTCCACAGTACTCAGCACGAGGATTTTCTGTTCTTATAATACTGAATTTTTTGCTGTCAGAAATAATTCCTGAAAACAGAAATTACAATTCGTCAAGTTTCATACTTAAAATTTATTTTAAATTCAGTTTACCATTTTCTGCAAAAATATGATTCTGACAACGTGTCACTGGTGAACTTATTTCATCAATAAATACCATCATAACACGCAAAAATAATTCAAAATCAACCGATTTATGTTCAATATCGATATGAAATGTTTTATTTAAATTTATGAAAATTTTTTGTAACTCTTTTGAATAATACCAATGATTTTTTTTTAAATTTTCTGGTTCATTCACGAGTATATTAAACTTCAAATTACCGGTGTCATGTTCCATTAAGTCAGGAAATACATCCTTCTACAATTGAATATATAAAAAAGCATTAAAAACAAAATATTCAGTAAATTTAGCAATTGAGAAAATAATACAAACATTATGTTCTTCAACTAAACTCTCTTCTTTCTTAAATACGTCTGGGGAGTTCACAATATGATCAATATCAAAATTCTGTGGAAAAAATTTTATTTGATGATTTAAATTTGAATTAAGTTCATAAATCTAATTTTTAAATTTATAAATTATTTAAATATGATTTATCAATTAAAGCTCAGCAATTAAAATGCAATTAATCTTAACCTGCCTTCGAATATCAGTGTTATAAAAAATTACATATTTTTCCAAATAAATTCATGTATTATAAATTAAATTGTGTTAAGAGAAGATATTTCATGTTTCCATTTGATTTCAAATAGAAAATAAAAATAAACCACATTTTACGCATATTTTTAAGAAAATTACAGTTTTAGTTTGCACAATTCTATTTCAATGCATATATGAATTAAATTTATAGACCCGCTGAAAAATTATGAATATTACAACATTTTTTATTAAACTTACTATTAAACTCTTGCATTTTTATGGGTTAACACCATTCGAGTATATAAAGTCTATTAAAGAATTCAAAGTTACAAATTATCAAATGTTTAAATCAACTGTGGTATGGGTATGGATATTTGTTATTTATGGAGCATCAATTTATAATGGAATGAAGTATCGCAAATATGTTTTAGAAGACAGATTGCCTAATACAATTTTAGGAGTTGTTTATGCTTACGTTAGCTCCTTTTCAGCGTTTTTCGTATATTTGTATCAATTATCCAAGCTTCGGAGGCATGCAGAAATTTTTTCGGAGTTGAAGAAACGTCGAAATAAAGCTGTTAAATTTATAAAATTTCACAAAAATGAAACAAATTTAAGTAATAGCAAAATTTTTGTATATTTTCTGAAACTTGTAATTGTTCCTCTAATTTATTTTATGTGTTTATACGTAAAATTTTGTAACGATCCTTTAATTATTTATTTTTACGCTTACAATTGTTTGTCTTCGCCATATTTAATTCGAGTTGCAATACCTACTTCAATTTATGGTGCAATGATGTTATGTAAACATTTCATGGACATTTTAAATAAACATTTGAAAAAAGTTGTGTTAGATATTAATAATTTAAGTCAAAAAGAAAATTTATCCGAAAGTAAATATCTGAGAATGCAAAAATATTGTGAGTTAAGCGATCGTATTGATTCAATATCAAATCAATTGAAAAATTTAAACAAAATTGTAGAATTATTAGCTGAATATTTAGATTTTCCTATGATAATTGGGTTATTATGCGAGTATTTTATTATTAACTATCAATTTTTCCAAGTTTATAATTTTATTTTGGATTACGCTATTACAAAACAATCTCGCAAAATTGCTGATGGTCTTTCCTCATTTTTTTGGGCCGCAACTATATATTTTGAAATGTTTTTGATTTTATCAGCTTTTTGGAGTTACGAAAATCAAGTAAATTGGAAATTATTTTACAATTTCATTGAAATTCGCTTTTAACCACTTTTATTCGCAGTTTAAGGAATGCTTGGTCATACTTTCAGAAGCTGATATCAATGAATCAACTGATATTCGATTGAGAACGACAATCGAAGCATTTACATTTTACGTTTTAATGAAGCAACCAAGATTTACTATATGGGAAATGTTTCCCTTGAATTTAAGCTTAAATCGAGATGTAAGATTTTCTTTGTCTTCATTCTAATTTATAATTATCATTATTGATATTTTCAGATATTGCAATCAACTATAAATTTCATGATAATATTTATACAAGGCGACTTAGCAAATAGAATTGAAGAAAAGAAAAAGTTATTAATTAAGGATTAAACTTACCCCAGCTCCTAGCAAATCCGAACTCTACAAATTAAAAAGAAAAGATATTAATTAAGCTATTTGCATCTTTTTAATTTAAAAATTTGAATAAAAATGTAGAAAAACTTACGTTTATAGCATATAGCAAAGCAGAATCTGGATCTATCTCGACTCTAAAAAACAATTAAAGGAATAAATTTAATTCCGTGCATTGTATTCTCATATTTCAAAAATTGCATGTGTAATTAAATGCAAGTGTTTTATATGAAATGTAGAAGCATTTTAGTAGAGTATTCATCCACTTCGTTTAATAGATTAGTCTATAATAGTTGAGGTATTTTCTGAAAATTAAATAGTACTTACCCAGGACTAAGACAATCATCGTATAGATTGCCAGTCGATGTTGACGGCTCATTTTCTCTAAAATTTTAAAAAAGGCAAGAGTTAAATTACTGTTAATTTTAAAAAATCAAAAAATTTATAAATACTTATGCAGATTCTTTTCATTCACATACGTGAATACATATTTTTTTTTTTGTTAAGAAAATGCATTCCATATTCATGTGCTCCGTTAAAATCCTAACCAGTTTTTAGCTTGGGATATTTTATAAAATGGTTTAATTGGAGCAGCTAATAAATAATGAAATAATTTTAAAACTACACTTACCTATCAAATAAATCCATATTTTGATTATTTATGGAAGCACTAAATTAATTATGACCGATTGGAAAGAAAAATAATATGTTAATGAGAAACTCAGTATTTATTTAACACTTTATTTTGAAAAAATCAATAAATTTCAGTATCTTACTTTGAGTTTCCTACGAGGCTGTCCCCTTGAATCATATTTTCGCTTTCGATTCAGCTTATGCACCCAAGGAATCTTTAATATAAGTCCTTCGTTCTTTTCTCCTTAACTAATTCTCTTTTCACATCTGAAGGTTTGTATCGTGAATCGGCGCCTTGTCAATTTCTCTTTATGAATTATGGTTTTAAGGTTAGAGTGCCCTTTCTTCAAAAATTTTAATTTAGTCTTTAATTTTACTTTTTTCATTAAATTAATAGCTATTTTTATTATATTTAAAATATACTAATTATAAAATTTTGTTACAGAACCCCCAAAATTACAATCTCAGCACTTTTTTCTACTCTGAATGATTACATTAAACATATACACTTTTCAAAAGACTTTGTTCGACGCAAAAATTTAGCCAAATCATTTATATTTTAAGCACCAAAACTTAAAGAATTAATAATATATCAATTCACAACTCTTAACACTAATTATATTTCAATTTTATTTTTAATTTAACCGTATAAAACCAGCAATTATTTTAGAGAATAAATTTTTATCGACAAGCACCAAGCAGACTAAGATTTAATTTACTTTCCGAAAAACTGTTACGAGGATCTGTCACTTTGAAATGCACCTGTGGATTATGATGGAAAAGTGGTGAAATACTTTCGAGACTCAAATTAAATCAATTCATTTGACAGTACTAGATTTAACATAGCAGGTTTGCCAAACGAAAAAAATTTCCCATATTACCGTGAATTAAAATTATTCAAACTGGTTAACAGGGAAATTATATGTAACAACAAATAAAAAGGAAAAAACATTGAATTTTATAAAACTAAAAATTTTTCACTAATTTATGAAGCAATATTAATAATTAATTAATAAAAACTTTTATTATTTAAACATTTCCTTAAGTGTGTTATAAAATTATTACATAATTATTATTAAATTAAATTTATAATAAAAAGGAAATTTAAACGTCAACGAAAATTATTTGAATTTTAAGTTTAACTGATTTTGGGGAAAAAAGTGAAATTTTTGTTTGAGAATATGGGATATGTACATAGTGTTCTTAATAAGATTCTTACATTTCAAACTCCAAGCTTACGAACTTGCTCTTTTACTGCAAACCTTACATTTTGACTGGATATAAAATGGACATTTTGAAATTTTTTTTGCAACGTTGAAAATAATAATTTTTTTTTCTTTATCAAGTTTACATGTGAACAATTGATATTTACCTTTTCATACTTTGATTACTTTGAAAACGTTTTCCCATTGGAACAAAATATTTGAATATAGTAGGTTAATGTCAACTAACAAAACTTTCAACCTCGATTAGAAAATCTAGTCGGAGAAAGTTTTCTTTTATAAAAATTTTGTTGGTTTTTTCAATGGTTTCTTTTTAAAATAATGTGAAATTTTAAGTAGAGTTTAATTATCAAAAACTGTCAAAACAACAAATATACATACATATATGTATATGTATGTAATATTTACATTACATGACAACAAGTTTTCAAACATGAATGTATTTGCCATTTGTCCAAAACGGATCTTGAGCTTCTAATATTTTTTGATACTGAAGATGTTAGATAATTCAACATTTTTAGATTTCGAAAATCTTGTATAACCTCATATTTTGAAGATTTTGACAGTTTAATATAATTTCTTTTTTTTAAATTTTGATAACATTACAAAATCTGAAAATTTCATATTATATTAATTTCAATCTTACATTTTTATTAATTTACATACATATCTTAATTCATTTTCATCCAACTGCATCTCTGCTTCTCTGTTAAAACATTTTTAGTAATTTTGAGTACTAGTTAGGCAATTTTCATGTACATACATATGTATGTACAAATTTTCTTGAAAAAATAGCTACTCACTTATTACTAATGCAAAAATCGTTGTAAATAGTCAGATTAAAATTAAAATGTGGAAGCGTTCAGAATATTAGTTTGTGCTCCTGGTTTAATCCACTTCACCAGTATGACCGCTATAAAATAACATTTGAAATTTTTGCCAAAGTTCTCATCCAAATAATTCCATATTATTGAGTCCGCCTAGTGTAAAGCAATTTGTCGTCTACCAAAATACGTAATTTCATTTTCATTAGAAAACCTTTATTTTTGCTTAAGTTTATTTGCTCTAGTTTTCGTGTTTTTATCACAAATGAAGCTACAGAGTAATAAAAGAATAACAACAATTTTTTTATTTTAAACCAATATTTTACAATATGAATTTTCACTTTTATATCATGAAAAATAAAAGGAGAAAGTCACACATTGTGTCTGCAACATTTGGCGTACCTACTTTTCCCAGGACAATTTTGTTTTTCTAAAAACAAGTGGATCGCTGCTAAATTAATAATTTATCATATTTTCATTTTTTCATAATATTATTTGTTATAGGCCGTTCATCCAATTTGTATCTCATGACTTTACACTAAGTGTATTACACTTGCATTGCACGTTAACGTAATGTACGACAATGTGTACTTATCTTAGGATTGTCAACTATTCAGAAACATTTATTACTGGGCTTGATACAATCTCGAGAAAAAGAGAGATAAACGGATTAATAAATTTGTTTAATTTTACAATTAACGCAAACTATTTTTATGAATGTACAATTAAATTTTGAAAATTGATGTCTGCTTAATTTTGTCTGGTGTTACCGAAATTACGAAAAGTATTATCACATTCACTTTGAAAACAGTTTTTTAAGAAATTATTTGGATGATAAAGCAGACGCTTGTTTAGCACAGTTTAATTTTTATGTAATGTGCTTAAAAGTACAGGTGGGTAATCTTATTTCGGGGACATTAAACGCACACGGATATGCATGTGCATTTTCACTTTTTCTTAAACAGAAAATAAAAAAAAAAGGTTTTTTGTTATAATTTACAGTGTAATTTTGCAATGGTAGGACTAAAATATAAAATATTGTAAATTAAATTTATAGTTTACGCTAATGAATTGACGGATTTTCCTTATACTTTGAGTATGTAATGTACATTCATTTACTAAAAATAAAAGTTTACAAGTTCGGATAGAGAACGATAGTGAACGTATAACATCTGCTAGCCATCAGCCAATTTCAGCTTACTTTATATTGTTTATATTGAAATTAATAACACTAAGTTTTTTTCTATTTACAAAACTAATTTATACGGACAAAGTTATTCAAATATGAAATAAATTTGATACATTTGTACATATGAGGTTCACATGTGCATAAGTACATGTTTAATTTAATTACTTACATATGCACACACATATTATTGATGAGTTTTCATATACTTAATATGCATTCGGTATTTGCTTGTATGTTTGTATGTACTAACATAGTAATTTGCAACATATGTATGTATGTCTTACTTAAATACGAATTATTATGTTTGCATATATAAATTATGTATTATAAATATATCTACATATGTATGTATATAATAATAAATACGTTTACAAAGTTCGCAGAAAATTTCATGAATTGTGAGGTTTTTTTTTGTTATTAGAAATACGTTCGTTCGTTTGAAGCATTTTGGCGAATATTACATACGATACTCAAGATTTTTTCAGCCAGTATCACTTAATTTTGTGGACAACATTCAATAGGGCGAAAGCGGAAAATGCAAATTATTATAATTTGTACCAGTGTGCTATTGGTGAAAAAGCCACTGTGTAAACGCAGGTATTTATGGTATGTTGGTAAATAATAAAAAATAATTCAGTGATCCGTGTAAAATATTTTTAGCGATGAGAAACTACATTTATGTTAATTCATGTACGGCACATATGTTTTTCAAAAATTGAAAAAGAATTCAAAAATATTTTTTTGCGCTGACTGTAATTCACATTTGAATATACCAAATGCCATTGTTAAAAATAAAAATCCTGCATACTAATTTAAGATTTAGGTCCCATCAGGCAAAACAGAATTTTTTGAACCGATATTGAAAAATTTTTCTAATAAACAATGTACCTACAATTAAATTTTATGTTTGTATGTAATTACAAAATTCAATTTCATGAATATAAATAATTATTTCTAATTGTATTGCATATTAAACAATAATGAAAAAATACCTATTAAAAATAGTGTTATCACTTAAAAGTGTTTAATAAAAATATTTTCAAATTTATTGTTTACATTTTCCGCTCTTATGTAAGATTACAGCAATGTAATATTAATACATAGTTTTGGGTAATCATTTCTTTAATTACATTTTATTGAATTTTCTTAAATAATCATACATAATGTTTACACACTGTTATACAAAAGAGTGAAAATTCTAATACAATAAAATTTTTAATAAAATCCAATAAACCTGTACCTACAGTTTTCATTTAACTATAAATTTTTATTGTAAATAAAATTATCGTAAATATTTACATTTAAAAAGTTTAAGAAAACAAAAAAAAATAAAAATTTTCAATAGTAAAAAGATCATTCAACCCTCATCTTCAAAACAAGTTCAACACACGTTTTTTAAAACAAAAATTAACTATAAAAAAAATCGACTTCATTGCATACTTGACATATTCAATTCACGTTGTAATTTTTGATATTGTTTTTTATTATAGTTTTAAAGTAAGAAACAACTGAAAAAAAAAATATTTTTTATCAAAAGCACGCACTTTCATTTATACATATTTGAAGTATTGAATTGCATTATTGCAGTTTGTCTTTGTAATTATTGATGCGCTGCACTTCTTTTCATTGTAAAAGGAACGTTTTTCTATCCAGATCCTTTAAACACATAATATCGTATACATACTCGTACACTGAATAAAATTTTCCTTATAGAATTTTTCCCCATTCTTGTTTGTTTTTTTATTTTCGTTTTTTGACAACTTAAGATGTTTTTATTTCCAGTTTTTTTATTAAATAAAATTTAATATATTAACATACATATGTACATATGTATATATAGAAAAATATAAAAATATTAATAAACAGAAACATGCATGTATGTGCGTGTTTATATAAATTACAAAATTTAATATGAAAATAAAAATTGTATACGTAACAAAGTTGTCCTAAGAAATTCTAAGGTGGGTTTCTGCTTGTTTTAATGGCAATCAGATATCACCATAAATCTTTATATTTTTGTTTCGCTTCTTATATTGCAGTGATCATTTCTAGTTTTTATATTGTTATTTTTATTAGTTTTTGCTTTAGATTTTCATTTACATAGTCTTATGACTGTATTATGACTAGAATGAAAATATATGATTGAGCTAATAATTTGATTATAAATAATTATAACCAATATTGAAACCAGCTAATCGCTATTCAACACTTCAAAAACAAAAAAGGAATTGTCGCCATTTTACTCTTACACAACCTGACTGTAAATCAGATGAGAACCATTATTAGACGACTGTCATCAAATTCAGATTAACAGTCTGATCGTGCAGTATCTAGCTTTTTTATTCATTTTTTATTCACTTTCTAATCAGAATTCTCAGTATTTTCTAATGAATGTTTCACTTTTCCACTAAGATTAATTAAAACTTTTCCATTAAGATTAAAGAAGAAATTTTGTGTACAT